AACTAAATTTTAAACTAGGTTTCTGGAGCAGTACCCCTTTTTGTAAAAGTAAATAAAATATTTTTTTAACAAATTTTTAAATTCCCTTATTGGGATATTAAAACGGTGAGAAGAAAACAATTTAAACCCGGGGAAAAACATTTTAAAGTGGGATTTTTAAATAATTTTCACTACAATGGGGGAGCACGTACCCAATAGTGCTTGAAATTTCCTGATCAAAAAGTAGAAAAAAAAACTTTTTAAACCTTGTTAAGTGTAAAAAAAAAAAATTTAAAATTTTCTTTTATTGGCTAAATGTTCTTTTAAAAAAAGATTTTATTGTTTTAGAAAAAAAAAAGAAAATTCCCCTCCTACCCCTGAAATTTACTTTAAAAATTTTTTTAACACAAAGGGAAAAATTTTTAAAAAATGTTTTCCCAAAATTTTGGGATTTCAAACAATAGGGGGCCAAAAACTTTCCTGTGTGGGGTCTTTAAAAAAAAGACCTGTTTTGGGAAAAGGGCCCTTTTTAAAGTCAAAGTTTTAAATAAAAAAATGGGTTTTGGGGTTTGACCCTTTATGCTCTCTACTAAAAATCCCTTTAAATTACAAAAACAAATAATTTGGTTTAAAATGGTTTGATGAAATTTTAACTGTACAAAAGCAAAAACTTAAACAAAGGTTAAGCCCAGTCAAAAAGGGTAGCCCGAACTGTAACTAAAAATATTTTTTTTAAAAATAAGTATGACAAAAACTTGGAAACCCCTTGGGAAAATGCTTTAATTAAAAAAACCAAAAACTAACCCCCCGTTTTCTTAATCAAAATGTAAAAAATTTTTGGTAAAAAATTGGGACCAAGTAATTGGCTTTTTATTTGGAATATTCAAAAAGCCTTTTGTGAAAAAGGGGCAACTTTGTCAAAAGAGGGTTTGCCCTTTTGGTTGGGGGCAAAAGGAAAAGGGGAAAAAAAATATGGAAGAAGTTTTAAAAAATTTTGTTTTTCCCAAAAATTTTAAAAATTTTTGCAAAAAGGATAAAATTTTTAAAAAACAAAGATTTTTTACTTTTGGGGCAAAAATAAATTTTAAAAATTTTTTTTGTTAATTTTTTTGCAGAACTATTTAAAAAAATTTTTGTTAAATTTTAAGGAAAAAGGGGGTAATTTTTCGAAAAACCCAAAAATTTCCCTTTTAACATTAGGGGAACCAAAAGGGAAATTTTAAACCAACCAAAAAAAAATTTTTGGAAAAACTTTAAAATAAACTAACAAGAAAGGGGCATAATTTTTCAAAACCAAAAGGCCTTCCCCCGCCTTTTTTAAAACAATTCAAATTTTCCAAATTTGGCCTTTTAAAAAAAATATTTCAAAAATTTTTGAAAAGCTTAAAAATAAAATTTGTAAAAACTTTAATTTAAAATATACCCCCTAAATTTTTTTTTTTTTTCCCTTTTTTGTCATAATTGATTCAAAAAAAAATTAAAATAATTTGGTTGAGCCCCCTTTTCCTGTTTAAATGAAAAATTTCTTTTCACCAAAAATTTTTGGGTTACTGGAAACAATTAAAAAACCTATGTTTTAAATTTGGTTTTACCCCGAAGTTTTAAAAGGGTTCCCCTTTTTATTAAAAACAACTTTTCAAAAACAAACTTTGGCCGGCAAAATTAAAAATTTATTAAAACCATCCAAAAATAAAAAAAGATAAAATTTTTCCTTTTCAAAATTTTTTTTGTTTCCAAACTATCTATTTTAAAAATTATAAATTTTTTTTCAAAAACAAAAAGAAAAAAAAGAAAAAACTTCAAAAAATAATTTATAAATTTAAAAAACTTTAAAATTTTTAAAATAAAAAAAATAAAGTTTTTTTAATTTTTTTCTTAAAAAAATTAAATTTTAAAATTAACCCTCCCTCTATAAAAAATTAAAAAATTTTAATTTCAATAAAAAACAAAACCTCTGAATTTAATATTTTTTTTTCCACCAAATTTTAAAACCCAAACCAGCCTGGCCCCATTAATTTTTCCAATCCTAAACCAAGGCAAATTCTTTTGTGTTAACAAATTTTTAATTTTTTTTTAAAAAAAATCAAAAAAAAAATTTTTATAAATTTAAGGGCTTGAAAATTTCAAAAAAAAAAGTTTTTAAATTTTATAAAAAAATTCAACAGATTAAAAAGGTTTTATTTCCAAAAAACCTTTTGATTAAAAATATTGGGGGCCTTAAAAAAAGCCCAAACCCCTTTTTTTATGGAAAGGCCTCTTTTTAAAAATTAAAGATCCCCTTTTTAAAAATAAGAGGATCTTTTAAAAAATTAAATTTTTTTAATTTTTTATATGAGGGTTTTTAAAAAAATTTAAACCCTCTTTTTTATAATGAGGAAACCCCTTTTAAAAAAAACCCTCTTTTATATATATATGAGGACCTCTTTAAAATTTTTTAAAAAATCCTCTTAAAAATTTAAGTAGTATAATATAAGAATTTCCCTTAAAAATTTACGGGGAAAAAAAATTTTGAAAATTTTACATTTTTCTTGTTTTTTTTTTTTTCTACTACTTGATTTGTTAAAAACAAGGCAAAAGGGTTTGCAAGTTGTATTTTAACATATAAATAATAATAAATTTAAAAAATTTTTAAACAATTTTAAATTTTTATTACACAATTAAAAAACAAATAATTATTAAAATTTTTGTAACACTTTTTTTTTTTGTCTATTCCTAACTAACCAAATTTAAAACTAACCCTTTTGGGATAAGAAAAATAAAAAGTACAAAAAAAAATGCATATAAAGTTAGCATGTAAAACTTTAAAGAAAAAAACATACCCCCTAAAAAAAACAATTGAACCCAAAATATATACCCAAATTTATATCGAATTTGAAGAAAATTTCCCCGACCAGAATTTGAAAAAGGTTTTTTAATTTTTCAAATTTCCCTAAAGTTAATCATAATTTAACAGGGATTCTTTTAAACTTTACATACACCCTTAAAAAACCTTCCCCTAAAATTGGAAATAATGGAAATTTTTCCTTGGGGTTTGAAAAAAGGGGAAATATTTATTTTTTATATAGGGGGTTTTCCAAAAAATCAAAAAAAGGCAAATTTTAGCAAGGGTTTAAAAATAAATGTATAGAGTCTTGGGAATGAATGTAACCCTTTTCCCGTGCTTTTTTACCTATCAATTTTTTAGACCCTTTTTTTATTTCCCAAAAAAGTTTTCCTAAAGTTATGAAAAATATGGGGGGTGCCCTTTTAACCTTTAAAAACCCAAAAATAATTTTTAAAAACTGTTTTTTTTTCCCTTTTTCTCTTAAATTTTTTTTTTTAAAAGACCAAATCTCTTATCCACCTTTCAATTTTTTTTTTTTCTTTTCAAAAAGCAAATTGGGATCAAAATTTTTAAAATTTACAACAAACAAAAATAAAAACCAAAATTACACTGTAAACTATTAATTTCACCAAAAGGGAAAATTTACAAAAGAAAAAAAGGACCATTTTTACCCAAAAATAACAAAGCAAGGAAGGAAAAACACCAAAAAAAAAAAAACCTTTTAAAAAATTTGGGGTTTAAATTGGGACATGTTTGTTTCCAAAAGAAAATTAAATTTTAAAACAATGTTTTAAATATCATAAGTTAAATCCCGATAAAATAATGTACCATTATGGCATAAATAGTTAATTTCCCTTAAAATTCCTACACAAATTATCAAAGCTTAAAATTTATACTGTAATTGGTTTTTTTACATAAAAAAAACATTTTTGAATCAGAAATTTTTTACGAAATTTTACAAGTTAAAATGGGGGCCCTTTTTTTTTAATGGAAAAATACATGGAAAAAGGTTTTCCCTTTTAAAAAATTTCCTAAAAATTATTAAAAAATGGGAACAAAAGGGAAAAAAAATGTAAAGAACTTTACTAAACTCTGCTTATACAAAATCATAAAAATAAAATTTTCCCCAAAAAAGAATAAAAGGGATTTCAAATTTTTTAAAAAATTTAAATTTCAAAAAAAAATAAAAATTTTAAATTATAAACGAGTATAATGAAAAACAACAAAAAAAACCAGTCTCAAATTTTTGGGGTTTTTGGACCCGATTTTTTAAAATAAAAAAATTTTTAAAGAAAATTTCAAACCTGATTAACACAAATTGGTTTTTTTTAAATCTGTCAATTTTTTTCCCCTTTCAAATTTTTAAAAGATTTTTTAAAATTTTAAAGAAAAAATAAAAATTGTTTGTATAATTTGGGGATGTAAAAGACTGATTTTGATTTTTAAAAAAAAATTTAAAACAGAAAAATGGGAAAATTTTTTCATAAAATTTTTTGTTCAAAATTTTATTTAATTCCTTTTTTAATTTCCTTTTTACTTTTAAAAATCACCTGTAAACATAATCTAAATAAAAAAGGCAAGTAAAAATTTTCTGTACAAAAACATTGCCTATCATAAATAAAATATAAAAATCAAATCTAAAAGAAAAATAAAAAACTTGTTTAAAAACTGTTGAACAAGTGTAATTTTGTATATAACAAGTTCTTAATCAGAATTCATTTGTCTTTAAAAAAAGAAAGTAATGCAAATTGAATTACATCAACAACTTTGCTTTAGACAGTGCAAGGTTCTTGTCCATATAAACTATGAAAAAATAAAAGGCAGTGAAAAACTATTCCTTAAGCAAATACAAAAACAAAATCTTAAGGCCACAGCAAAGTTAGCATTCCATATGCTACCAATAAAACCCCTACACATTTCTATTTATAAAAAGAAAAAAAAATGAGAAAAAAAACTAAGAAAAAAACAAGGGTTACTCCCCTTTGCTAGATATCATTTGCCAATTTTTTTTCTGAAACACCTTAAAAACAAGCTATCAGAATTTTTCATATCAATATTTCTGCCTTTGAAGCAAACAGGTAATTCAAATACAATAGAAATAATGATCAAACATGTTACTAAATAAAACAAATGTTTAGGCCAAATGAAAGCAAACTTGAGGAGTGCTTTCCTTATTTAGGCCAATCATATACAAGTACAAAAAATGTACTTAATTGTTTGCCCATGAATCTTTACTATACATACTTTCCAACTTTCTCTAAGTAGTCAGACTCTATATGCATGTAATTCTAAGTTTTTGATCATGACTTTAACTGTTAAGATACATGTATGTACAGTGACCGTCTACCTGAACTCTTTTAGTTACATAATTATATCTTATAAGGGAAAGTCCTGAATTTTGATAATGGAACACCCTAACATTTGATAAGAGAAACCCTAACATTTGATATGGGAACACCCTAAAAATTGATTAGGGAACAACCTATCAAACCCTAACATTTGATAAGGGAACACCCTAACATTTGATATGGAAACACCCTAACATTTGATAAAGGAAAACCCTAAATTTTGACAAGGAAATAACCTAACACATGTATTTGATAAGGGAACACCCTCAAATTTGATATGGGAACATCCTAACAATTGATAAGGGATCATCCCATCTGTTTCAAAGCTGGTCTTCTTTGATCAACTCTACAATAATAGATTTCAATTACTTTAAAAAAAAATTGGGTGACGTATATTGCACATGAATCTCCTATATAATTTTATTACTTTTTGAGAGATTAGTTTACTATATATAAACGGTAATAAACAAAACTATGACATGATTATATCACTGCCCCTACAGGTACCCTACAGAAATACATCTACAACAAAAACTTTTGTTATCTCAACATTATACTAGATTATTTTCTTAAGGATAAACACAAGAATTCACTCAGTATGTCAGTCTTTGCGATCATTTAAGTTTAATCATTAGTAAAAAAATTTTGCTTGATATATTTTATTTATTCATTCATAAGTCCTAGTATTCATACTATTATAAGTATGAATATATTTGTACTGAGAAAGGGGTGCGTCCTATAAGCGGGCACTAAATTAAAACGCATAGTTTTCTGCAAGTTCCAACTGTTAGGTTTAAGAGGTTTTATTTTCTGAAATGCCAGATTTTGAAGCCAGTTGCTTTCATAAAAACCTGTTTTTGCTGGCCCCTACTCTTGTGAAAACTGTGATTACAAAGTTTAGGTTTATAATAAAGCGATATGTATTCTGCTTCTTTAAATGATATGTTATTATGTAATAAAAAATAAAATACAATCATATTTTAATATGACGTGATTTGCTGAGTAACTGTAAGAATTTTCTTAATTTGAGTGCATTTCATACATGCAACTGAAATAATAATTGTTACTAGCTGTTAATATCAGAATATGATATGAAAATTATAACGGCATTCAATACAAGAATAACTGATTACAGTGATAGAAAATTTGTTTTTAGGTGAATATAAAATATGTTTTCCAGAAAGTGACACATTTCAAATATGTGCAAAAGCTTTCGGCATGAGTGAAATACAAATATTATTTTACTTCAAGCAGATATGTTCCATTTTAACACTCTAACATAAATTCCTTTTACTTTTAATGCAATCTTCTTTATTTTTTAACAACTGAAGCTTCCCCTATAAATATCATCCAGTGGGTGATATAGGTATATATTTTTCACATGCAAGGAAGCATTTTTTTATGCTTGATAGTAAAACAAGAGTCTGGATAATGTAGAATTTTTAATGTTCAAAAAGGGTCATAATTCTGTCAAAATCCAAGCCTGGACAGTGACCTCCTATGAGCCATCAAATAAGTGTGTGAGGTTTCAACTCATTCCCTTCAGTAGTTTTGGATATACCAACTAGCACACGACAACTTAATCAAAGTTAACTTTAACACCGATTCATAGGTGAGAACAATACATGTAGCTCTCTCTATTCTAAGAATAGACAAGCTAAAAATCACCAGAAATCGTGACAAAACTGTGTCTTGTGCTTCAATACATCATGTTTAAAAAATGTCTGTATCTTGAAAATTTCTTTATTCAAAATTTCTTTATTTATAAATCTTTGACATCAAATATCTATTCCAAAAGTAAACAAAATATTATTATTGAATTCAAGAAACCAAATTTTGATGTCTTTCATAATTAAGTCCCTAAATCTGCTTTTAACAAATATAATAAACATTTTGCACCCATATGCAAGAAAGAATAAAATTGACGAGAAAAAAATCACAGATTATGGTAGAAAAATACATTTCTACTCCTCGAAATTACGAATTGTTTGGAGTAGAAAACAAATGCGACAAAACACATATGACTATGAGAGAAAAAAAGAGAGAGATAAAGAGAAAAATTTAACCTTGCTTGAACACAAAACTGCTTAAGATATAAATACATACAATTTACCACAAACTAGATTATTTATTTTTAGCATTTCAATTCAATCCTGCATAACAATGGTTTATTTTATGAATAAAATATGAATATAAGTACATATATGAAAAAGTCAATATTGACATATTTTTCGAGGGGGAAAAAATCAATGAATCAAAGCATATTAAAAATTACAGATGTATATATGATTTATTTGGAAATGAAGGATTGCTTGTTTTTAGTGAATATGGAATATATTTCACTTCGATGTGAAAAACTGCATTTAATTTTCACCAGCATAGACAACAAGTGAAATATGTAAAATATCACATCAAAGTAATATACAAATACCATATTCACAACAAACAAACTTAAATTTTCTTATCTTGTTATGTCAAAGACGAAATACAGGTAGTTGTCGCAAAGACTTATTAACAGTGAATAATATACATTATACCTCACTGATGAAACAATTTTCATAAATTAGCATGAAATATAGATAATTTTATCACATTTTCCACGAAAATACTTTCTAAATGTCAACAAAATCTTAATTCTCAAATAGCAGATTAACATTTTGCTAAATAGTATTTTTTTTTATTTGAGGTTAGGCTGTAATATCATATTTCGAAAAAGTTTTTCTATTTTTCAATTGTTCCTTTTTTTTATTAATATTTTTTTAATCATTCTGAAAAAAAAAGCCAGAGATCCATCTACATTGAGCTTTTTAAGAATCATGGGGAGAGAGAAACAAGTTGGCCGCTACATACAGAATCTATGTTCCTCTTTTGTTATGTTCTGTTTCATAATCACCTCTCAGCAAACACAAATTTGAACTCACTTCCTTGTCTCTATAACCCCCATCTCATTTTTATTTTTAGCTCTGTTTAATAATGTATGCACTTACTTTAAAAACAATATTTCCATACTTAAGATCATAACTATAAAACTGAAATAAAAATATTTTTATTCCCACTGCCAAAAACTCTAATAAACATTGTAGTTTCACTAAAATCTGTTTAAAAAAAAAACTATACAATTACAAAAAAATTACTTACATAATAAAAATTTAAGCATAAAGACAACCTATGTAACAAAAAAATAATTTTTGCCTCTATCACTCTGTCACTTTGGGCAATTCAGGGGAAATACTAGGTACATCACAAAACAATATAAAAGATCATTGTATATTCAAGGATGCCTTTTTTTCTAAGTTTTACTATAGAAAAGCAAAGAAAAAATGTTGATTTGTTTTGACTATACATATGGTGCTTGAGTTATACACTTTATGATTAAGGCATTTCCTAAGCAGAGGTCTGTATAGTTTATATAAGAAACATGAATATATAAACCCTGATCAATCCCAGGCATTCCAACATTTATGCATACCATCACATCCGTTTGGTGAACGCTCCACAGGTCGAGCGTAACTTTTATTTCGAAAAGAGAATCCTTTCCCAGAATACCAAAAACCTGCCGTTTTTTTCCCCTATGCAAAGCAAAATGGCACACAAAGGTAAAAACCAAGCAGATTTTCTATGTAAACCCTGTGAACTGTTTTTGGATGCGATCACTCGAGTGTGCTATGGTTTCGCTTGGTTTTATCAGGCTATATTGAACGATATCTAGAGAACGGCCTCAGCCGAAGAGTTGTCTGTTGTTGTTATAGCCTGCACGAATACTTCTATAGCCAATGAACACCAAGGTTACTAGGAAAATGAAAGACTACCTGTGAAAATGAAGAAGAAAATAATAAGCTAAATGAAGAACCAAATGTTTTTTTACAGTGTAATTTTCTTTCAATATTCTCAACTTATTTAACACTAAAACAAAGTCTGTGTTTGTTGTATACTAAAGCCCTCCCTTGATTTTGCCTTTCACAGTGACATATCAAAGCAGCCTACAGCTTTTTTATTTTTGTAGGAAAAATAATTCTATGATGTTTCAAACTTAGTATTTCAGTAATTTTAACTTGGAAAAATGTATATATCACTGTCAGAGCTTCTTCAAAACAGCATCGTCTACTGGTCATGGGCAATGTTCTAACCAAAGTTATATGATAAAGCATGACTGTAAAATTAATCAGACATGGATTTTACATTTAGAGGAACTCCACTGAGGCCAAAAAACATAAAATTTCAATTTTCTTACATATATCAGCTCGGAATTTACAACAAAAAGATATGCAGAAGATAATTTAGAATTATACTCAGAAATAAATTGGAAATTGTATTTTTATGCTATTCTTTGCCCAATTTTAGTGAAAAGCATTGCAATATTTCCAACAATAGGTCATTTTTTTCTCAATTCATTTGAGTAGAACCACAAACCTACAATCATGCTAGAAAACATCCTCACTTGTATATGAATACAACAGTGAAAATATTTCATACTTACCGACTTTCATTAGAACTACTCATAGGAGAAGAACTATCATCTAAATTGAGCTCAATAATTTGTCTTTTAGTTACCTCTACCTAAAAATGTAATTATAAAACACATGTTATAAAATAATCAACACTATCCACAAAACTGTTGACACAGCAGTCTTGTGAAATTATGATTAATAAGAGCCCCCCCAACCCTATACACATGCATCTGTGTGTATTTGTATTATTTGATGCACAAGCTGGGAACCTACGTAAAAGCACTCAGATTTACAATACAGGCATTCTTTATAAAACATGTACAAGCTCGTGCTTTGGACATTAATCTCCTGTTGGTATTGATGCTCTAACAACAATGAAAGCACTCACAAACAGAAATCAAGACAACAATAAAATATGGCATTAATTTTCTACTTTTTGGACACAGCTTTTAGGGAATAACTTAAATTTCTGTGCTTTGGCAATACCTTATAAATTAATTATTAATTCGAAAAAAACCTTATTGTAAATATAATGTAAAGGGAAAATGAGAATAGGACAAGCAAAACAACAAAAAAATATTGATCAGAAATAATTTATATCCCCTTTTTTTGGAAGGGGGCAAAAAAGCATAAAGATTGGGCATGGTCTACAGAAAATAAAGATTTTTACAGAAACAAAGCAACCAAACCAACAACACAGATGCACACCAAATTTCATTTTCATCATCTCATATGAAAAATCCCCAATCATATGACTATATATCAATACAAAAGTCGTCCAGACAAATCAAACAATGTAACTTACTAACCAACCCACTACTATATAAGCCAAAAAAAAAAATTCCATACAAAGTTGTAGATATAGGGGAAATAGCAAGGAAAATATTGTGTTTCAAGGCTTAAGCAAGGCAATGGGTTCTCTTCAAACAAAAGCAGACAAGATGCTTTTTCTTTCCCTTAAACTATAAGCTCCGGGGGGAATTCTGTGCTCCACTAGTGATACGAATTATACATCTACCTCGGTCTCGACAACTTTTTGCACAAGTTGTAGCCTCTGAATTGTCGGTTTGCCCGTTTTTTCATCAATAACCTCAACAGTTTTGTGCGAGACTTTCTCATCTATCACCTGACATTTCTCCCGGACAGAGGTATCACCGGGCCTCTTGCAGATTACAAGCTTCACAGGGGACATACTAGACAACTGATTTACCTGAGCCTTTCATTAGAGCAGCATGTAAGAAACCACATAATGATAGTGTGAAGTTTTCAGTTTCAAATACAGTATGTTTTTCTTTTTTACATTTCAGATAAATATAATTATGTAATTCATTTAGCTTACAGCATAGTCAAAGAAAGATAACCCCGTGTGTGTCCGAAACCATGTACTAGTACATGTACATAGTGAAGAATTAATTTCAAATACCTCATCTGCGACGTAAACCCCTTTAAGAGGGTTATGCTTCCAGGCAAGTTACTTCTCTGTGAGGGTAACTCCTTTAGGAGAATAACACCTTCCCCAATTTTCTCATGCAGAAATACTAATTTTTGTTATGTATATTCATACATAAAATTTCTAAGTCTGGAACTATTCCAAGATCACTTTTAATAATTACATTGTCAGTGCTTTAACATGTATGGTATTCTATAACCAATCAATTTCTATTTTTCACTGTCTACTTGTTAAATTATGTCTCCAGTAAATGATGCATTTTCATTTTTGAGATTCCTTACTGCAAACACATTGGAAATATGGATAGATAAAGGCAATTCTATGGGGAATGATTATGGTGCAACTTCTTTATGAGGGTTACCTTTTGTATCTTTGCTGCTAAGTTGAAATTGTTTTCTTACCTTACAGTCAATTGTTTAATGAAATGTTCAGATTCTCTTCTAATCCTTATACATGTTATACCATAGGACAAAATGTACTTGATTTTATGTTGTTTGTGTATTTTTTTTTTTTCATTTATGTTCTTCTTTTTTTTCTTAAGGACAGCTCAACTTATACAAGACATAAAACAATCACAGTACCATAGAAATAATTGAAGCAATCTTCCTACTTTTTAGATTAACACACAATATCTTTTATTAATTTTCCCACTGAATAAATTCAAAAACCACCACAATTTAAAATCTTAAAACCAGATTCGTTATGATTCACTTAAACTGCAATAATTTGTTCAATATCCCCAAAATTATTACTTTATTACTAATTAAATTTATTATTTTTAATTAAAATGGAGCACTAAAACACACAGTTCTTGTTGAAAATTGACCCCCCCCCCCCCCACTTTAACCCCTAAAAGAAAGAAATGTTTGTATTTTTTCTTTCTACATGTATTTTTTTATTTTTACATTTTTAGTAGGATTTCAAAATCTGGATAAAGTCTGATCCCTTAGATGTACTAACCACAATAAAATTACATGAAAATTGCAGGCTCGGTTTGACTGAGTCCGTACATGAGGGATAGTAGCGAAAAAGTGCAACATCCCTCATGCCCTAGCACCCCTAGATTTTTTTTAAGTGGCAACTTTCAAGTAAAATTGTTCAATTCTTCATAGAAGATAATTGACCTGTATGTGGGACTTGTAACATCATGATACAGTGGACAAATATCTCACCTCAGAATCTCCATTCTGGTTGGTGGCTGCCTTGCTGCTACTTTTACTATCATCATTTTGAAGCTCTTGAGCTTTAGCAATGACAGCTTGAGCTCGTATAGCATCATCTTCAAGGTCCTTCATCCTGTAAAACAAGTTTTCAACAATTATAAATGTAACAACTTCTGTAATAAACTTATATCTATACCACTTAAATATTCAAACATGCTGTTGTCCAAACTAATTATGTTCAATTTTTGTCTAAATTTGGATCAGAACATTTTTTTTCACTTCATACTTTGAACTTTTTAAAAGTTTGTATTTACCTGATATCAAGATCTACCATATTTCTCATTATTTATGATCCCACCCTAATTGCCACCCCCCAAAACCCAGACATAGAGGCAAGCCTATGATTGGCTAACAGGATAAGTTAAGATAGTACAGAATAATGTGAACCTGTGTTTTATAATATGACAATGTTATGTATTAATTGAACTGTTCAATGGACTGTGTATTGTTATATGTCAATGATATCATGTACTGTTATACGTCAATGGAATGGAGTATTGGTATTTGTTAATGGATCTAATTTCATATGGCACTGAAACTGTGCATTGTTAAATAATATTGGAACTGTGAATTGTTATATATCAATGGAACTGTATATTGTTGTGTGTTAATGAATCTATGTTGTTATATGTTAATGGAACTGTGTATTGTTATATGTTGATGACTTTGTGTATTTTAATTTGCCAATGGAACTGTGTATTCTTATGTCAATTGAACTGTTCAATGGAATTGTTTATTATTATATGTCAATGGACCTGTGCATTGTTTTATTACTAGAAAGAAATGCTAGAATGTTGTACCTAACTCAAGTCAAGTGTCTATGCTTTGATGACATAACTTCCTGGCTACAGAAGCTTCAAATTACTGTATCTAACAAATGATTAAGCTGCTTTAATGCTAGACCGTAATTTACTATCTCTTGTTTCCTTTAAATTCACTACCCTACATTTATGTTCATACATAAATATCTTTAATGACTTTTACTTATAGCAAATACATTATTAGCATTTACACACAAGCTTCATATTTTTATTTTTTCATTCATCTTATTTTTATATATATATTTTTTTTTTGTTGTGTTCACACCAACACGTTATAGATCATAGTTACGGCGACTTTCCATCTATACTAGAAGAGGAAGACCTGCCCGCTCTTCTGTGCATTATTTCAGTAGAACCACAAGCGTTCCATAAGCTAGGTGGATAGTTTCCTCGCATGAATGAATCTATCCCTGGCAGGAGTTAAACCCTCAATGGTGAGGGGCATGTGGCTTGAAGACATACATGTATTACATTCATACAATATACAAAAGTGGTTTGCACTGGCATTCTTGAATATGTGATAATACATTGTGTATAAATCATTTCCTGATAAATGCTACATATGTCTGATATCTCTGGGGTATATTGCAATGCACTTATAACCTGCTCCTTTAAAATCATTACCATAAAATTGCATTATGAACCATAGCCCTTGCTCTGCTAAATATGTGTAACAGACTTTTTCACCCTTGAATAATGAACTGTCCATTGTAAATTTGAGAGATTTCAATTATCAAAATAATGAAATATAGCAGCCTACACGGAAGCCTGGCTACTTCATTGTGTTAAAATTCTTCCATGATCATCAAGATAGACAGTTCTGAAATTCAAGACATGATAAAAGCCCATTTCACAATTTTAGTTCTTGTCTTCTTGTGAATATATGGATACAAGAAAAAAACAGTTCATACAAACTGTCATAGAAATTCTCATGACAACAACTATAGTCTAAGATGTCAAAACATTTCTGTGTGTTGCTTTTGTTTAGTGTGATTTTACAATTACAAACATTAAAAGACAACATTTTAATGTTCTCACTAACATGACATGGCACAACAACAACTAGAGTTAAAGAACTTAGATACATGCATTCACAGACAACATAAAGAGATAGACTAAATTTATAACAGGCTATATTTAGTTAATAAAACGTAGAAATGACAAGTCATTGAAATATATGAAACATAAATATCAATCCATTACATGAGCAAATAAATAATGTGATAAAAACAATATGATTATGCACAAGACAAAAATAATATCAGTTTTGCAGTTTTCACTACGGAGTGCAGATGTACTAATACTTGTTGCATTAGAAATGTGTTTCTAGTAAAAAAAAAAATAGAAACTGAAATTGTCAACTTAGTGCAGTAATAGGTTAAGTCCTTTGAAAATTTAAATAGGAAGGAGTTAACCAGTTATTACACTAAGGTGATGAATTGTAGTTGAGGTGTATACTTCATTGTTGTACGTCCTCAATTAAATTTTCAGCACAGACTATTGTATACTGTACTGAAAAATGAAGATCACTTCCCAAGTGCAATGTAACAAAATGTTTGTAGAAAATATTGTGATTAAATCATACTTTAAGGTAAAGAAAATTTTGCCCATTGCTGGTCTCTTTCTGCCTAAAAGATGAAAAAAACAAAACTTTTGTAGTTTAACATGTGAATAACAGCAATGTTTTGTTTATGACTATTTATAGCAAATGTACTTAAAAAATGTACAAATTTTTAAAAAAGTACATCACTAAAAGCAAAAATTTCATATTGCTTACAAAACCAGTAACGGACAAATATATTTTCTTAACCTAGAGAAGAAAGTAGAGAAGACACGCACCTAGCCTGCCGTGAGGCCGCTCTTTGCTCGGCCTGTATGGCTCGTTCTTCTGCCGGAGATAATTTATGACCTTGTGATGGCCCACTTGACATTTGGACATTATTTGAAGGGGTATGAGCCGTCGAGGGGTCCAGTGTTCGCATCACATTGGGGGGACTAGTAACAAAAACAAGAAATCATGCACTGAACTAAATACAGACATTATTATAAAGAAAAGCTGTTTGTGAAAAAATAAGAATATACCTAAGCAATATTTAGGTTTGATTTTACATGCCTTTAGTAGAAGACAAAGAGAAAATAAAACAAAATCCATTCTAGCCTCTTTAATCCGAACATAAACTTAATTAAGTTTAAAGCGGACAAAGTTTTCATATTTTTTCTTTCTTTTTCTCACATCACTGCATGTATCAGTTGATGTGAACAAAATCTTGTTAGCAGAAATGCATTACAATAACTAGAAATGTGTCCATAGGACACGGATGCCCCCACACGCCACTGTTCTGTCAATCTTATGACTCTAGGTCAAATATTTTTTGGACTACATGTGCCACAAGTTGAAAACTAAAAATCAACAAAGGGCCATAATTCTGTTAAATTTGGTCGCAGCAAAAATTCCTACCTTTACTACCATCTTCACCTTAAGGTTGTTCATCCCTGGAAGTTTAAGCAAAATCTGCCATCCGGTTTAAGAAGAGTTGCGTTCACAAATTTCTACATAGTATATATTGAAAAAAACAACAAAGGGCCATAATTCTGTTAAATTTGGTCGCAGCAAAAATTCCTTCCTTTACTACCATCTACACATAAAGGTTGTTCATCCCTGTAAGTTTAAGCAAAATCTGCCATGCGGTTTAAGTGGAGTTGCATTCACAAAATTTCTACATAGTATATAGTGAAAAAATCAACAAAGGGCCATAATTCTGTTAAATTTGGTCGCAGCAAAAATTCCTTCCTTCACTACCATCTGCACATTAAGGTTGTTCATTCCTGTAAGTTTAAGCAAAATCTGCCATCCGGTTTAAGAGGAGTTGCGTTCACAAAATTTCTACATAGTATCTAGTGAAAAAATCAACAAAGGGCCATAATTCTATTAAATTTGGTCGCAGCAAAAATTCCTTCCTTTACTACCATCTACACATTAAGGTTGTTCATCCCTGTAAGTTTAAGCAAAATCTGCCATCCGGTTTAAGAGGAGTTGCGTTCACAAGATTTTGGGACGTACGGACGGACGGACGGACAAGTGCAACGCTATATGCTCCCACATTGTGGGGGCATAAAAACTAGCAACAAGAGCCTCCGACTAGCGGCCATGCTATACTTTTTCTTATTATAAAATACTGGAAGAATTTTATACATTGTAGTAAAGGTAACTCCTACAAAACAAGATTTTCTTGTAACAAATCCAATTCAAATTTTTTCTTTGACCTTGACAGTCAAGGCCATTCAAAGGCCAAGTTCACATTTGAACTAATCAGTCAGTTTTTTCATATGTTCTTTTGTCCAAGTATGAATCATATCTGTAAATAAATAACAAAGTAAATTTTAAATTGACCTTGATGGTCAAGGTCAAAATTTGAGTTTTGTCAAACGGGTTCTTTTGTCCAAGTATAAATCAAATTTATAAATAAATAGCAAAGTTATGGCCAAATGTAGCAAAATTCTCTGATTAGTGTATAGGTCAAATTCAGGTCAAGGTCAAGTTCAATAAATCTTCTTTAATGTCTTGTCTTAAGGATTGTATGAGGACAATACACTCATTAATTACAAAGTTATAGCCAATAATAAGCAAAAATTGAAAATACAATATCTTGACCTTCAAGGTCATGGTAATTTGTAGGTCAAGGTCAAATTGATTTGATCTTATTTAAGATATTGTCCTTTGGGTAGTTGTGCTCAAGTATTATTAGATCAAGTATTATTGATTCCTAAATAAGTTATTGCCATTATAGCAAAGTCTTTAATTTGACCTAAAAGGTCAAGGTCATTGATGAAAGAATTGGACTTTTTTAAGGTCTTTTTCAAAAGACTGTTGCTTCCAAGTATTAAAACAATCTATTCATTAATAACAAAGATATAGCTTATTGCAACATTTAAACACTTGACCTTGAAGGTCAGTCATTTATGAGTCTAGGTCGATCAAGTTCAATCTGATATACTTAAAGTCTTGATCAAAGGGTTGTTATGTCAATGTATGAAGACAATCCATTAAGAAATAAGAAAAATAATGACCCACTTCTTGATAGCAACTGAAATAGGAACAACAACCTGACTGTGGCAATAGCTTTAAATTTTTCCTCGAAAAGTCAAGCTAAAAATAACTTATTTCAGCACAAAACACAAACAGCTTGGAGTAAGTGATTACAAGATAAGTTTCAACAAAGCAAACAAACAAAAGTAAAAGACCTAAGATAAAAATAATAAAAATCTTTAAAAATTCATATTCATTAATTTACATTCATTCAAATTACATCAAACTATACCATGTACATGCATAGCATGTTCAAACAAGCTTAATAAAGTGAACAAAAAAAATTGGTGAGGTGAATATATTACAAAATGATTCAGTTTGATACATAATTTGATAAATAGGTTTACTAACTATATTGTCATGCGTTTTCCTGTATTTAACTTCAGGGATTTACTTTTCACAACACTAGCTAGGTAGACTTTATGGTCACAAGCAAAAAGAAAGCATTGCATGATGGATGAATGAATATCCCGAGTTTAAACCCTTGCTGGAGGATCAAGGCTCAGCCATCAGTATAGTGCCAGGCCATCCAGCACATCCATGCAGTCTGACCAGGCTCTATCCTTGTGGCAGCTCAATTACTGTCTTTTTAATTAACAGTCTAAATTTGTTCCAAATTCAAAGCTGGAAAATCCATTACACAAAATGAGCCGGATAAAGATAATCATCATATATGTAACATTGTAACACGCTTCACAATATTCCCCTATCAAACAGATACGGCAGTCAAGTGCACGATATATGCAAGGAATGCTTACACGTAATATGATGTCAGATATGACATCAATAAACCAAATGACATCAGGAAAATTACTTCTAGGCTTAATGTAGTTAAACAAATTTTTACCAATTCTCTTTTTTATAAGCATGTTAGAACGGAAATAGATTTTTTTTTTTGTTCATTATAGTACAATAATGCAAGGTTTTTCATGAAATGTTTATCAGCCTTCATGATAATATTCCTACGCATTTAAACTCGAACTGTGCATTATTCTACAACAATGCACACAGAATTGATATCAATTTCCTAATTAGAGCCCAACAAGTTCATCTATCAAAATTAGCACTATCAATTTACCCTGCTAATACATGTTACCAACTGGTTATTCTTTGATTTCAGATCTATCCATTGGTAATGTCAGGGAATATTTAACATCAAAATAATAAAATTTAGCACAATCCGAGTTACCAGTTTAATCAGACTGCAAATAGGAAGCTGGCCCTTTAATATCATCACATTATATTGATTTGATACTTGAGAAAATTGATATGCTGAAGGAAATCTAATTTGTCATCTATAGGGAACATCTAATTTCTTGGGGCATTTGTGTATCTTTTTTTTTTCATTTCCTATTAAAATCTGCAACAAATAATTCTATATTTTATCTGACAAAATTGATCCATGTGCATGGCGAAATGAAATAAAATTAAGAAGACTTTGAAGAGACCCCATCACATTTAGCTGAGCCACATAAAAAGATAATGAAAAACATCAAGAGTGCAATTAAGTTCTTTAACAGCTATTAGCAAAGTAAGAACAAAATTTGTTTATGGCTGGTTTTTTTCTCCTTTTTTTCTTTTCTTTTTTTTTAAATTTCAAAACTGATGATCATGAAGATATTATATGCATATCAAATAAAGACATTAAGCAGAAAATATGCTGATCAAATAAAGAGTTGATTCTGTAATAGTAAAAATATTGAATATCGATTTGTTCAACTGGTATGGCATTAATAGAGTAGAACCAGAGATTTTGCCTCTGTAAAAACAATTTGCTCTATTCCTGTAAACAAAATCTTATTAAGGACATAATAGGGGACTTCAAATGATTTTTTATTCTTGTTTGTGATCAGCTTATTTTGACAGCTATTGTAGCATTATACACATGTGTCATGTTGTGGTGACTCATTCACTGCTCTATAACAAACATATGGCCATGAATCATGTGACCTGAAATAGTTCATATTATAATGCTGCAATCAATTTTACTCATACATTCCATTATCAAACAGAGGGGGCAGTCTTTTTACATTTTAGATAGTTGTTATATTCCATCCTTTTGTCATTATTAATTATTGGTCAATGACCATTATTATAGCCAATCTTTTGAACTATATAGCTGATTAAGCCCAACTTGACAATGAAAAAATTACCACAATGTCACTTTAACCAACAAGATTGTGGTTAACTTTGCCAGGACTTCTGTCACAGACTACTACAAGGGCACACTACCCTGCCTCTCTATAGTTGTATCACCTTCCAACAGGGTAAGGGCTAAAATTTCATTTTACTTTCCATGGAATTTAAACAAACTTCTGTAAAAGTTGTCTCCATAAAATGAATCTGTTCAGGTCACATGATTTCTAAGACAATAATGCTACATAATTATAGTAAAAAGCAGCATGCAAAAAAGTGATTAGACAATATCTAATAAAACTGTTAGATAATTAGGAGATAAATTATTTTACCTAATTCCCAGACTGTTTTCATACAAAACAGTGTAAAATGTGTGTTAGTAATAAAATTTTACATTGAAATACCACCAATATTTCATATAATTGATATTTTACAATTCATAATACTACATGTTTGGCATATTAATTATTATTGGATAATCTGTTAATATAATCTAAAACACTGTTGTTAAATGATGTATTGATTTTCCTGTTTTAATCAAAGGAAAGGAAATGTGCAGAATTATAAATTATTAATTGGCTTTGAACAGGTATAATATGATCATGTATAAATGACCTTGGCAATATTACTACTTGCTAAATTATAATTAATTTTACACCTTGACCATTAACTTAATGCTAAATTATAATTTATTTTATACCTTGGCCATATAATCTGTGTCAAAGTATCTTGGGCATCAAAATACCAAATAATGTACATTTACAATTTATAAATAAAGGTTTATAAGAATTTATATTTAAACAATGTCACCACTGCCTTAGTTAGGCCAAGTAAAGTTTACTTTCAATCCTTACACTGACCATTCAGAATAACCTTATATTGCTAAAAGTCACTTTTTTAACTTGATATTTGCGTCCATAACTTTCACCAGCAGCTAGATTATTCTCAACTATTCATCTAGAACATTCAGCTATTGTTGATATAATTATCATAAGACAACAAAGAAACAGATAATCATTCGTAGATTCATTGCTACAATGCAGTATAAACATATGCTTTATGTGATTATTTCGTTTACATTTTGTTTGCAATGAATCCTCGACATGAAACACAACACTGAATTATCATTATCTAGAATCTAGTTACTGTTATACATGTATATATTAATGGGTGTGGCTTTCTGGCAGGTGGGGGTTGGGTTTCACTTACCTAGACAGAACTTTATTATACTCTTCATCCCCGCTACCAACACCCTCAGACACTTTAGATAATAATTCTTCCTTTGACATCCGCAGAGCTTTGTCAGCTGTCAATACAATGAAACAATCTAATTAACAAATATTCGAATAAAAATTGTACATTGTATTCTAGTTGTCCAGGTTTATATGTATCTTCTCATTAATAAATATAGAAATATACATTGTACATTGTATTCTAGTTGTTCAATTCTTCATATTCAACAATTCAAGAGTGCAAATTTAGATAATATCTGTTTGAAATATTTCTTATTTATCGAATCCACTAAACATCAACATATTCTAGTTTTATGAATGGGGATAAACAATATATTAGGGTGACAAAATAAGTTTGTAAATAAAAGCCTCTTTTTTTAAGTCAAACTCAAAGGACCATGTTTATTACACCCGTTCAAGTACATTTATTTTGCAAAATAATACAAATTTACAATGGGGAGATGGCTGAAAAATAATGTGACAAAAAATTATGGCAAACCCTTGTTGTATGAATTTTGATGTCATATTAAATTTTACTGCAGTCGACTTTTTTTTTAAATTCTTAGAATATACTTAAGCCAAAGCTGAATTGTATTTGCAAAAGTCCAAGGAGTCTGTGCAAAACATAGGGCGAAACTGTGCACCTCTTGTGAAAAGCCTGAAACTCAGCACAGTTGTGGGATAATAAAATACTTTTCATTTAAGCCTGGATTTTGTGAATCCAATAATGGCCACCAAAATCCAAGATGGTCACCATATTAATATTGTGCTATTCACAGAAGGTGCACAATTATTCCACTGATTTCTCGGATTACATTGACTATATTCATGAAACAAATCCTATATTTACAAATAAAAACTTTACACCAAACATCCATATATCTTAAAACTTTATTAATGTTATCAAATTAACAAAAAAAAAAACCACAATCAAAAATGATAAAAACTCAAATAATGATAGAAAATATAATATAAAAAAATCAAATTTTACAAACAAATTTGAAAACTAAAAATTCACAAAAATGACAAAGTACAGAAGGTGGAGATAATAATGGGGTGTTGACAACAGTTTTTATACCTTCTTCTTTTCTCATTTTAGCAAGTTCATGCTCCGAAAAATATCTGAATGGTTTAGCTGCAAAAACCCAAATATTTCCTTTATTTTCTGTGTACATTTTTACTTTAAAAAGCAGAAATAATTTGTTGTTTTTTTTTCCAATAAAAAAACTATCAGGAGTCGGGGCATAAAAATGGGAAGTTCTCTAATTAATACAACTATACTTTATCAGAGCCTTAGGCAATTATATGCTTTACTGGACAAAGTTATCTTTATTTACTTAATTGCTTAGGATTTATTAGAGAAAGACCATGACAAAATTTATGAATTTGTGTTACTTGGGCTATTTATAGACAGCAATTTTTCACTTGTTACATTACCCTACATTTTGTAAAATTCAAAAAGTTGGGATCAAAGTGAAGACAAAAGAAAGGGAAATTTTTAGCCATTTTTAATCAACTATTTTAGCTACAACAGTCAACAATAATTAACCAGGCACTGAAAAACATTTTCAGAGTCACTCGTCCTGCAGGACAAGTAGCTTCTAAATCACTGTGCAGGCTTCCTGCATCAAATTCTCTTAAATTCTACTAGTGATTACGAGCGGACGAGTGAAATTTCAGATCTCTGAGAACCTGGTCATATTTCACAAATGTTCAGACTTATCACATTCTACTCTGCTGGCAATAACAAGTTAATAATAATAAATATATTTACCCTGAGTTGTTTCCAGTTTATGTTGTTCATGTATTTCCATTTCAAAGAACCTCTTTTTTGTATTAAATGAGCCTCCCTCTCTGGCAATAGGCTTTGATCCACCATACACCTGCAAGTTATCAGTCAATAAAAATACATTACCATACATTTTCTACAATTTATCTCACCAAATTCAATATTGTAAGGCTCTCTGTAATGACCCAGATTAAAACCCTTCCCCAATTCCCAGGCATCGAAAAATATTTTCAGAGTCACTCTTCCTGCAGGACGAGTACCTTCTAAATCCAATGTGCAGGCATCATTTTTCAACTCGTTTTGCATAGTTTTCTTTTTCTACTCGTAATTACGAGTGGAATTTTCTATCTCTGACCCCCTCCCCCCTGCCAATGGCTACTGAATATGCCTATGCAACTAATGCAGACCAATATCAGCTTGCACATCTTAACAGTCTGATCATGGTCTGCACTGTTTGCTTTTCAGTCAGTTCATCTTAAGAAATTTTCCCAATAAAATGATGAATATATTTTAATGGACAAATCCCTTTAGATATTTCGCATGAAAGATGGGAAATTATAACATATACTCCAAAAAGCAGTGTCATCTTCCACACTCTATTACAAACCAGATATCCCTTTATACACTTTTTAAGCAATTTGCATTATGTAAAACATCAAGAATAATCCAAAACTGAAATGAAAAACATAATCCATCTTTCATTGATGATACCTCTGCCTTAAAGTCTGCCATATTATTATCCCTCTTTTTAATTTAACGCTACACTTTTTGACAATGATACAAATTCTTCTACAGCCAGAGAAAACTACACGTCGCCTCACAAGTGTGTAACGAGAGGACCGATTTCATTCCAATACAGTCTGACAGACTCTCCCAGAATGCCTGCTTCACTCTGTTACAAGATCAATGTCACATAAAAGCTTACCAAAAACACATCACTAGTGATTGCTTTAACTTCCAGTTGTAACAACTATTATTGATTGCCTGTCATTGGGTTAGGGGCTGGGTTTTTTATTTAAATCATTCATTTGTGATGCTTAAACATTACAAGTAAATTTGGGCCAGAAGAGGCATACATTATAATACAAGTCATTGACTTTTTCTATATTTTTCTATATTCTCTTTCTTACTTGTATTGTTATTTGTATATGTAATTAATGAGATAAAATATTGATTTAACAAGCACAAAACTGGTTTTGAATTCTGTAAGAAATTGGAATTTAAGTTAAATCGTTCATTTGTGATGTTTAGATAAGTAAATTTAGTCAAAGCAACTGGTGTTTAGTTCTATAGGGGATGGCCTCATTTGCAAATTCAAAAACTACAATTCTAATCAACATTAAAGTTTATTTTTAGCTGTGTTTTTAACCATCTACTCTGATAAGGTAATTTAGCCTGTAATAATATCAAGATCATTTTATAAATACAGACAAAAATGAACTTCATCACAAATGTTTTGACATAACTAGTCAATTCCAGTGTCAAAAAATATCATTAAATATTCAACATTTTGGAAGTTAAAATCATGTCTCAATCATAATCAAAGAGAAACAAATAATAATATTATTGCTAATTTCCTTCAATACTCATGAAAATTAAGTTACAATAACATATTTTTCATCCTAAAATATCAAGAATTACAAATTACAAAGTACTGAAGATTCAGTTTTTATCAACAGACTAGTATGCATGTACTCCTATAAAAGGATATTTTGCCAAATACACATTTTGAATAGGGAAAACCAGAACAGTTTCAGCCCCCCAAAATTGCATCTTAAACAGACTTTCTAACATAAATGCGGCCAAATTGTTCTAGGATTATCTTCAGTATCTTAACAAGGCATTCAGTGTGCACAGAAAATAATCATCAGCAATAATCAATAGATTTGTCCCAAGTTTTCACTGTAGCACAGACAACTTTCATGGAAATTTTGTCTCCTATACTAGACACAGAGTTGTATTGATTTTGCCTAAATTACACACTCCTATAGTACAGTATTTCCTGCAGACATCCTTAATATAACATCTCTTTACTCCAGTTAAAGTCAGTCTTAGAAAATAAACAACGTAATATGTTTGTTTATATTATTATATTATACATGAATTATTTGTATTTATTTTGTATTGTAATTATTTTTATTATATTATATAATATTAAACATTTGTTGCTTTTATTTATTGGATTTTTTTTCTTTTTTTTTTCATTTTTCATTTGTGTTACTTTTGGACAATTTACAAATACAAATAAGATTGCATTTGTGTAAAAAAATGCTATGCCACTACATTACTACAACACTACATAGTAGAAAGTGAAATAATTTTTTTTTTTAAATTGAACTGTGCCATAATACAGTAGTGTCTCATTAACTTTGGGGTCAAGGTCATATTTTAGCAGACAATGTGCAGATGCGTCTATGTTCAGATACAAAGGCCATAGTATAATTACAAATGCAATATATAAAAGTATTTTTACTTGATAAAAATTAAGGTATTTACTGTATTTATTCATGTTAACATGGAATGTGTGTAATAAAGGAAAGTTGACTTGACTTGACTTGTATTACATACCTGTTTTAAACTTTGAAATACAGTTACCCAGTTAATTTTTGATAATGATTGAAACATAATTTTATCTTCCAAAATGTTGAAGATCTAATGATGTTTTTTGACACTGGAATTGACAAGTTTGAATATTTATACACCAAAAGACAATATGCCTTAAACTGTCCATCATAAAAAGCTATTCAAGAGGTTCAAACTTAGAAACTCAAGGAATTTATCCCCACTATGAAGCCATCAAGACAATTTTCAGTTACGCATTTTAACCAACATGAATCCAAAATTTATGTTAAAGAACTGATTTTTACATCACCCATGATCATCATTATTATAATCATCATCATTATAACCACCAGATTCATCATCATCAAGTTGTTCTTTTGTTAAGTTGGTTTTTATATTAATCTAAATACATTTTTGGGTCTAATAACGGAAGTGGCTACACACACCTAACTGGCTTTTCCTGGCTAATTAACAGGTAATTACAAATACCTCCACAAGTGACTGACTACTAATCACACATGATTTCTAAAATCAGCTATGAGGGACAAATGACAGTTGACCATTAGAGTCATCATGACAAACAGTGTGCCATACAAAGGTAGGTAAAATATAAATATACAAACAGATCATAGATATCAAAACTTGATCATAACACATCAGTCCTGCAGTCAGTAGTTTAGTACATCAATACATTTAATATTGTTACATTCAATTTGTCAACCATTGAAAAATTCAAAGAAGTAAAAACATGCTAGTGGACTAAAGCAAAGTAAATTCCCATGCCTCATAAATCAAGTATGAAAATAAGCCAGCAAGAATAAGTTCTTTCATTAGTTTTCCGTACAGTAAATTACTTACAGCATTTTGTTACAGGATACATGCAAACAGTAAAAACTACAACTAATCACTATCTCTGCATTCAATAAAACAACACAAGACTAAAGTTAACATGCCTTTCCAGATATACCTAAAATTACTTATCTTATTCTTATCGTAACTCTTTACTACTTTACCCATAGACATAATTATTATGATGATTAACCAATAACTATATATAACTATAACCTAACTAACTGATACATTTCTGATGTATTTATTTACCGGCTTCTCTGGCGTCTTCATCACATTACTGCTGGAGAGGTTTGCCGATGGCGTACGGGCCTGCTTCAAAATGTCTTCGACACCCTGCTTCTGTGGCACTACTGGTTTGGGTGGCAGAGTTTTTGGTTTGGGTCCCTTTGGTGTGAGCTTTGGTGAACCCTTAGCTGGTGGAATAATGGCGGGTTTTGGGGGCACTGGTGGAGTGGCTCGTGGTTTGTTCAGTACAGGCTTAGGGTTCACAGGCTAATAACAGAACAGAACTCAAAAGTTGTGCAGGCATATAACATGCTAAGAAATTTGACACCCAAATGCTTCATTCAAGAATCAATTTAGACAATTAATTTCTTGTTCATTCTTTACTCATGTTTACATAGAGCATTATTAGAATAGTGTTCCATTTTGATCACGTAAATCTATGAATTAAAAGCAAAATAAAAGGTCTTTCTCCTTTTCTTTTTTTTCTTTCTTTTTTGTGATATATAAGTCTTAATTATTATATTTTGGTTGGGTTTAACATCACATCAACCTAACTGAACCTAATTATCACTTTTATTTTCAGTACATGAGTAAAGACTGAACTTTTGTCAAAAATCTAAATACAAAATCAGAAATAAACAAAATATAAAATTAAGTTCATGCACTAGAAAAAACGAAGAATTGCATTGGAAAAAAAAAAATATTTTAACATTTTCATACATAGTAAGGTAATGTAAAAAGCATTTAAAATCATACTGTATTTCTCAAAATTTGTATGCCGCTTAGATTTTAAGCCATAACATGGTGCGTTTCTTAACTTGCCGAGCTTCCATTTATCAAACTGCCCATCATAAATTTAGAGGGTATAAAGAGAACAACTGAAAGTTAGTCAGCTGACAGAATAAACTCTGGTCAGATTGCACAGGTGTGCATATTTGCAAATAACTTAGTCTTTTTTCAATATGTTTTAATTTTGAAATTAAAAATGATGAGAGCCAGAAGAAAGCAAATCTCTGAACGTCACGAAAGATGTGAATTTGCATAAATATGCCATGCTGCTGGAGTTTAAACTGTGTGATGGTCACTCCACTCCTTGAAATGAATTTCAATGGTATAGGCCAGTGATAATCCAGCATTCAAAAGATTAATGAAACATACTAGTATATCCATATAAACACACTGGTATATCCAGATAAACACAATAACATATATAGATAACACACTGGTATGTCCAGATAAACACACTGGTATATCCAGATAAACACATTGGTATATCCAGATAAACACACTGATATATCCAGATAAACACACTCGTATATCCAGATAAACACACTGGTATATCCTGATAAACATACTCGTATATCCAGATTAGCACACTGTATATCCTGATAAACACACTGGTATATCCAGATAAACACACTGGTATATCCTGATAAACAAACTGGTTTATCCTGATAAACACACTGGTATATCCTGATAAACACACTGGTTTATTAAGACAAACACACTGGTATTAATATACAGATAAACACACTTGTATATCTAGATAAACAAACTGGAATATACAGATAAACACACTGGTATATCATGATAAACACACTGGTTTATTAAGACAAACATACTGGTATATCCAGATAAACACGCTTGTATATCCTATATCCAGATAAACACACTTGTATATCCTGATAAACACACTGGTATATCCAGACAAACACACTGGTAAATCCAGATAAACACACTGGTATATCCAGATAAACACACTCGTATATCCAGATAAACACAATGGTATATCCAGATAAACACAATGGTATATCCAGAGAAATACACTTGTATATCCTGATAAACTCACTGGTATATCCAGATAAACATACTGGTATATCCAGATAAACACACTAGTATATCCAGATAAACACAATGGTATATCCAGAGAAATACACTTGTATATCCAGATAAACACACTTGTATATCTAGATACACACTGGTATATCCAGACAAACACACTGGTAAATCCAGATAAACACAATGGTTTTTCCAGATAAACACACTGGTATATCCAGATACACATACTAGTATAATTATGCAGATAAACACACTGGTATATCCAGATAAACACACTAGAATATCCAGATAAAGAGGAAGTAGCACAAGAATTAAGTGAAATACAGTATGTGAGTAAGGTGGATATTTTTTACTATGGGAGCAAACATTAACATCCAAATGTTCAGGCCGTTGTTTTATTCTCAGTTAGCAGAAGGATATGAAAATTTTAAAGTGTATAGTAAATGTCACATTTTAAGAAAAAATTTTCAGCACATTATACTTATGTTTTAATGACTTCTTAAATATTTTATATGAATATCCTGACTCAAATATTTGTCACCGAAATCAAGATTCGCAAGTTCAGATATCTGGGCTCCTAGTAACATCTTTAAAAACGTAAACATTGCAAGAAAAATGTGAAAATTATATCACACCATCTTTTCATTAGAATACTGTTCAACCTTTCTTTGAACACACAATTTTTCTCATTGTCTTAAAACATCATTTCCAAATTCTGGCCAAACAAGATGGCAATCCTTTAATGTAATATTTGAAGATCAGGTAGAACTACTGACCAAATTTGAAAACTAGCTGGACATTAACATCAGTGTTGCTATCTAACAATGTACATCCTTATAAATTTTTTTAAACAATACCATGTTTATAGATAAATGAAATGAACAATCCTAAACCACTATTTATTTCATGCCTGTGTAAAATAGAGAAAACTGACACAATCAAACGTACAGACACACATACTGAAAAAAGCTCATTAGATGTTAGAATAAGAAAAGTACATACCGGAGGGGTTGGCTTTACCAGCAGCTGTACACTTTGGGATGAAGAAGGGGCAGGGGATTCCTGAGGCACTTGAGGGGCAATCACAGTCTGCGCATAACATAATAAAACAGTACAGAAATACATGCTGTTAATTTAAGGAAATTTGCTCACAGCTGATGAGTTGTTTTATTATTAATTTCTATATTTGTAAAAGAACATTAACACTTCATGCCTGCAGATTCATGCATATGTTTTGGAAAGTTAAGACAATTAGGTGCCCCCTCATGTATTATTTCAGGCATTTCAATATGAGTGGGCACCGAAGTAGAACTGGTAACTCTCTGCAAGGTACAAATGCAGCTTGGTTGCTCTCTCACAAGGTAAAAGATCCAAGCCTTGATGAGATTCAAGGCCGCAGTACAGACAGGCAAGTGATTTGAAGTCAGCAGCTTCAACCACACAGCCAGGGAGGTCCCCATCAATTAGTCTGAGACTATTTTAAGTATTACATTAAAAATAGATGAAAAATATCAGTGTGTGAAAAAGGGTCTCTCATGTTCAAATTTCATTTTCATCCGAAATGACCGATATTTAAACTTGATCAAGTAATTACTGGGAGACAAACATTCTGATCAAGTTTTGTGGCAATTGTGGCAAAAATGAGACAACTTAAAGTGTTAACAAACTAAATGTGGATAACAAACCACGGACATCAAAATAATTAAAAAAGCTCACCCAGAGTCAGATCAGGTGAGCTAAAAACTTGATACAAAGGAATAATTATAACTTATTAGACATTCCATTTCAAACATACAATAAAAACATGTGAGATATTCCAGGCCTTGCTGAATTAGTAACCTATCTAACAAACATGCGTTCAATAAAAACTTGATATAAAAGGAAGATAATATACCTATAACTGTCAAAATTATACATATTGCATGAGATCAGGCCTTTTGAGGAAAAGTTAACACAAAGGGAGATAATTTATGTAAAACTGTTAACCCTTACCTGTTGTAGAAGTTCAGGCCCTTTGATTTGATCATGTTCTTGCTGCAGAATTCTGGCCTGCTCCTCGACCTGTTTTTCCTGCTCCTCTCTCTCTAAACGTTGCTTCTCCTAAACACAGATTTCATCAGTGAAATATAATTGATATCACACTGACTCACTTTAAACATCGTTCAATTAAATAAGAACGATTGTTATTAATATTCCATTAAAATGAAAATCTTTAGGCAAAGAGATGCTTTTTGTAATTTCAAAATGATGAAAACTCAACAAGTTGACATGCCAACATAATCGAAAAATGCAAAATAAAAAAGCTATGCAATTGTGTTAAAGGCAATGTATACAACATCTAACACTTATGCAACTACATGTATTCTATTATAATAATATATTAAATATGAAAAAAATGATGTGTTATTGAAATTACTGCAAGTTTATCAATTAAAACCCAGATATGATTAAGTATATACAATTTTTTTCAAACAGTTATACCTTTTAAAGATTGTCAATATTTACAAGAAGAACTTTCAGAGGAGACAGCACGCTCCACTTATTAAATATTTTTGTTATTTATATATATATATTATAAAAACACAAGAGCGATCAGTAATCACATGTGTCGCCTCATGATGGCCAATTTCATGTTGGGACAAATTTTGTGACAGACGGACAGACAGACGGACAGTGCACAACTAGACTAACCACTTTGTACTGATCATTCCTGTAAAGTTTGGATAAAATTGCACCAGTAGTTTATGAGGAGTAGTCCGGACAAGCTTTTGCGTATCTGGCAACACACAGAAAAAAAACACCTTTTTATCAAAGGGCCATAACTCGGCCAAAAATCATTCAACCGGAAAACCCGTGCAATATGCGCAAGGACTTGAGCTACAGATCAATCCTGTAAAGTTTCATTGAAATTGCATAAGTGGTATAAGAGAAGTAGTCTGGACAAACTTTAAAAATAAAATTTTTTAAAGGGCCATAACTCAAGAAAAATCATTGAACCGGAAAATGCTGACAATATGCACAACTAGACTTGGTACTGATCATTCGTGTAAAGTTTGGATGAAATTGCACCAGTAGTTTATGAGGAGTAGTCCGGACAAGCTTTTGTGTATCTGGCAACACACAGAAAAAGAAACCTTTTTATCAAAGGGCCATAACTCGGCCAAAAATCATTCAACCGGAAAACCCGTGCAATATGCGCAAGGACTTGAGCTACAGATCAATCCTGTAAAGTTTCATTGAAATTGCATTAGTAGTATAAGAGAAGTAGTCCGGACAAACTTTAAAATTAAAAATTATTAAAGGGCCATAACTCTGACAAAAATCATTGAACCGGAAAATCCTGACAATATGCACAACTAGACTTGGTACTGATCATTCCTGTAAAGTTTGGATGAAATTGCACCAGTAGTTGATGAGGAGTAGTCCGGACAAGTTTTGTGACGGACGGACGGACAGACGGACAGACAGACAGACAGACGGACAGACAGACGACGGAGAAGTGATCCCTATATGTCGCCACTACTCCGTAGAGGCGACACAAAAAAACATTGACAACCTTTAAAGGAATAACAGATATTATTAGGGCTAGCTACAGTTAATCAGAAATTTGTTAAAAACAGCTTAGGTTCCTATTAAATATTTTAACACAGAAAAACTCTGTCATCTGTTAAGAGATCACTTTAAACATTATTAACTTTACAAAAACTCAGCTATTCATACTATACAAGAAACATTCTAATTCCAGTACACAAAATCTTTAATTCCACTACAAAAACATCAATGAATTTTTCATGAAAAGCAAAATTACATGAAGCTGTTAAACCAACCCTGACCAAAAATTGACTACAATATGTCACAAATATGTGTGCAAGTGCTTAGTTTTTTTATAATGTACAGACTCAATCAAACCGAGTCTGCAATTCTTATGTTATTTTGTTGTGATTGATGCTTCCGAGGGATCACTTTGTTTCCAGAATTTTGTAGTTAAAAAAAAAAACAAAGAGAAAATTGTAAAGCAAGTTTAATGCAAGCCAAACTAACTGTTTCTAACATTATATCAATATGGTCTTCCGCCGACATTAAGATCATGTCAGCTGGTTTAACCTGTAAATCTTGTGGGGCATACACTTACCATTTTCTCTGCCTACTCTCATTTTAACTCTTCACTTGAGCACATTTACTCTGCTTTGAAGTTGGAATAAGTTCAATTGAAGTTGAATGTATTTTAGATAAAATTTAAAAATTGAGCTACCAACAGTTTAGAGTCTGGTTAGACTGCATGGAGGTTGGATGGTTGGGTTTTTTAAGTCACATGACTTTAATCACATGACTATATTAAGGTCATATGACCATTTTCTAGCTTTACTGGTGGAGGAAGACATCAGGCTCCCTTTCTTGCACTGTACTCGAGTAGAACCCCGAGCTTTGTAAGCTAGCTGGATATTTTCCTGACAATCAAAAGCACAGTGGTGAGGGCACATAGTTTGAAGTCAGTGGCCTTAACCACTCAGCCTCAGAAGCACCATATTTGGAGGTGCAACCTGACTGGTGGTAATGGATTATCATTTTTGCCTCTAGAGGTCATGGGTTAAGCCTTTCTTCAAGAAATTTAACAAGAATATGTTAAGAATCCAACATACCAGCCGGGCAAGTTCTTCTTTCTCCCACTGCAAAGTTTCCTTCACAAGTTCTTGTTCCTACAGTTAGTTGGTTACACATGATTACACAAAGTAAGCTATCAACTAATATAGGGGTGTACTATATAGGTATGGGACGAGGAGAGAAACATTTTAGTCATACAATACTTTACTATATAATGTTTTTAACTCAAATTCAATTCATCATGAACTAACGGCTTTATCAATCTAAAAAAAACTTTTCAACAAATTTCGTTATTCAAAGATTAGAGCAAAGTAAGCAGACTAAAGCATTTTAATTTGAACGTCAAGGCCACATATTCAGCATAACAAAATCATGTTAGTTTATCAAATGATCTAAAAAAGAAAGCAACACCTGCAAATCTGTAAATACTGACATAAGACATATATACAGTCTAACTTGCTCATGCGACCACGTGTATTAAGCGACTTTTGTCTTAAACGACCACTTTAAATTCCCCCCGATCATTTTCTCTCTATATCTTTAATGTATTAAGCGACTATTGCCCAACACGACCAGCGACCGCTAATTAGTCACCTAATTGACATCAATCTTTTCATTTAACGACCACTTTTACCTGTCAAGTAATTGTGTTTTTAGAGAACGCCACCTCGTTATGTCACAAGTGTCAGCAATCAAAACACAACAATAAACGTGTGAAAAACTATATTTCCCATACCATTTTAGCGTATGCAAATGAAGTTAAATATACGCGTGACGTGTATTATCCAATAATATCGGATAAACAATGCAACACTCCGCCCATACTGAGATGGTGTATACGCTTCGCTTGTTGACATTTAGACTGCATTGAATTGACCTTGAACTTGATCAGCCATTAAATTAATCGTAACAAATAGATGTAGTTTGTTTATTTCAAATGAAAAAATGCACAACAGAAAACATCTTCACTAATAGGGTTTTCGTGTTGGAGACAAGGAAAAACAACGGAGAAGTTTAAAAATTCTGGAAAAAATGTCAAACATGTACGTAATGGATCAACACTGATTTTGTCAATAAATATCAGAACGTTATTTTTACATTTGCATCCGTTTAGATTATCGGAGAGTACTTATTATTCAACATTTATATAAAAATGAAGTTGAAAAACAATCCCATCAAATAAAAAAGATGTCAATTATAAATTTTGACTTTTATATCATGCTGACTGTCTTAAGAGACCGTTTCATTAAGCGACCGTTTTTGGTGTTTCCCTTGCCCGGTCGCTTAATACACGTTTGACTGTACATGTATATGTGTCAATTGAAAAGAGTAAACCATGTTGAAATAATTTTAAGTCAAGAATATATAGGTAATATGGCACAAGCGAGAAAATTGTATTTTTATGAGCATATTGGGGGTGGGGTGTTATTACAAATTTACTTATCAACACTTATGATGCAATTCATCAGAATAAGCAATACAAAGAGTGACATAATTCGTCACCTTTGAGCAATAACTAGTTAACTCCTAAATTAAATCTAGGACTTAGCCTGTTAAGGCACTAAGGTGACATATTTGGAAAACTTAATAATTCTTCAGTTGATAATGTGCTTCAGTTGAAAATGTCCATATTAACACCAGAAAATATTCTCATGTCTTATGCCAATACAAAATAGAGCAGCACACATGCAAAAATAAACACTACACTATCATCAAAAAGTGAAAACTGACATATAAGCTAAGATTTGATAAAATTCTGCTTTAACTATCATGCAAAATTCAAAAACCTATGTACAAAATTTAAGTTATCTATTCTAAATAAAGAACATTTCAGTGCAACATTTTGCATGTGGAATAAAATGGATGAATGGCTATCAATCAACCTATTTCATTTTTCTGACATTGAAACTTTTCATAATATAATATGTTATACTCCTTCATATACTTTTTATAGCACAGAGGCATTCAAGTTAAACAATTGACCTTTGGTAAGCAAACTACCCCCACCCCCCAATTATCCATAGTTTTTAAATTTAATATGTGAAAGATCATGGACCATGACACTCTACTTTGGGATATTTTTGTCTTGGTTAAATTTTTGTCTATTTCACCATCCAAGTGGCAAAATATTACGACAGAAAATATAACTATGATTAATCTTTAAACATGTCTGTTATATTGTTGGTTTTTGATGAAATTATTATTCATGTTTTTGCCACCTTTGTAAAATGGAGAAAATTTCTTGCAAGAAAATAAACCCACTACACCTTCAGCTAAAACGGCAAAAATATGCAGACATGAAAATTACCCGAAGTAAGGTAAGAGATACCATTATTCGTTATGCGGTGTATGTACCTTCTTAATAAGGAGGTGCTCTGCATCTTCTTTGTCTATATTAGTAGCAGAGTCTCGCCTCATCTGGGGCATGTACCCTAGTGGCGAGCTAGGCGTGTCCGGTGATGGCTCGTCCAGTGACGCTGGATCGAACCCATCGCAGATCATTATGACTAGGCGATCTCCGACACTGCGCAGTGCCCGCACAGCTTCTTGATGGGTTGAACCCAGCAGACTCTGTCCATTTACTTCAAGTATTCGCTGACCTACTTTCAGTCTGTCATCTCTTGATACAGCTCCGTCATCGGTAATCTGAAACAGTCGTGTATCATAAATGCATAATCACATGTCTAAACACTATTTTACTATGAAAACAGATTTAAACTCTCTGTGAAATGTCTTACTAGTATAATATTACAATTACATGAAATAGGGTTCATATAAGTAGTATTTTATGATTATAATCACAAAGCCAGTAGGCCAAAGTGCTAAATTATGAATATCCTCACTCAAAATCAGGCAAAATTGTACTAAAATGCACAAAAACTTGAAAAGAAGAGAAATTGATCATGTTTGCTCATCCCTAGTGGTATAGATCTGGGGTTTTTTTACAAGCTTTTCTGTCCAGATGATTAAATCCTAATTTTCAGGAAATATGGTAAAATTATTTTACATTTTAAGTCAATTAAAAATTTCAGAATTTTTGCAATCTTTAAGATATCACAGCAGTATAAATATGAAAACAAAGTCGGAAATTTACCCTTGATATAAAAATTCCTTCATCGTTACTTTCATCTCCAGGAAAATTCTTCACCCCTCCCTTGATGGACATCCCTAGCTTTTCCCCAGGTCTCTTTACTACTGTCAGCTCCTGTAGATAGGAAGAAAATTTTTGTCATTTAGTTACAGTCAGGTTTAGATATCATACTGTACAATGCTGTGGTCTTATTGCCATATTCCAGATTTAGCAAGCAGGTAAAATCCTTGATAACAAGCAACAAGCTTGTCTCAAAATAGTTTTGTTGTTATTATACAAAGACTTAGCTCAATAAGGAGCATAGAATTTGTAATTCTATGGCTGCTGGTTCAATCTATTGGCAAGGCAAACATTCTCCATGAAAATGGATCTCAGATATGTATGTTGACAAAAGAGCAGAATAATTGAATGTTTTTTTTATAAAATAGAATGATGTCACCAACACTAACATTTAATGCTAAACATGAAAACATGTTGTTCATCAACGAGAAAATAAAAGATCATTTAAATATTCAAACCTATAGCAAATAATCGGAGATAATAGTTAAGTATGTTAAGTGATCAGTGAAAGTTTTGCATGAAACAGAATGTCAATATAAGCTTTTTTCCAAACTGACATAACAGATGAAAATTCATGATTGAATATTGAAAAATTCTCCCAATCAGATTTAATTTTATATACACATACATGTATTTTTATAAAAATCATGATTTTCATGTATATTCATCTAATGTAAGTGAATATATGATTAAAATTCTTATTTTTCTATTGTTTATCATCCTTAATTTTCCAAATCAAAAGGCATGGACTATCATTATAGGTAGCTTTATGACAAACAATACCTGTAGGCCTTTAGGTGGTGGGTCATGTCGAACTTTGACCCTAATTTCATAGGTAGGAGCTATCAATGCCATGACTGCTTCCTGGTGAGTGGCATTCTTCATGTTTTTACCATTTACCTCAAGTATCCTATCACCTATATGTAAATTTGTCTTGGATGCTGCCCCATCTGGTACAATCTAAAAATAGCATTCAACAGACTATAAATAGCATCTGGTAAATCTAAAAATAGCAGTCAACAGTCTATAAATAGTATCTGGTACAACATAGAAATAGCAATCAAAAGCCTATAAATAGTATTTAGCAGGGCTCTGGATTTCCCCTTTTTAGTGCTAATATTGAGCACCATTCCAGTAAAATTTTTATTCCCTTATTTTCAAGTGGTAGTTAATTAACTGTCCATATGTTGGATGACATTACAGTTTAACCTGTATTCAAAAAAGCAAAATTTTATAAAGTTCATTTATTTTAAGTAATATGTTATGTGCAGCAAAAATTGCCTGAAATTTTCACTACAAAAAATGAAAATTCACCCTCCTACTGGTACAGGTACTGTTCTCCGAAAACAGATTGAGCAGTTTAGAAATTGAATCTATAAACAGTATACACACTATGTATGAACTTTCTATGAATAGCCTTATATAAAACCTATATAAAGTTTTAACAAAAAAAACATTAAAAATGTGTATATTTGGTAGTTACATAGTTTAAATAGTATTCAACTTAGTTTTTCATTCCAAATGACTGTGTTTAGGGGAGCTCAGGGGAGCTAAAAAGTATTAGTGCAGTGTTTGTATTTAATAGAATAACAATTGTATTCTAATAGACTGATAGAGATACCTATTCAGTATTCCTCAGTACTTTTTTAATGAATTTTTACAAAAGTATCAATTATTTTCTCCTCTAAAGCCCATAACAAATTAAAGAGGATTCAGTCTACTAGTAAATGCAAAACATGGAGCTCCAAGTGGATTTGACAACATAAACAATAGTGTTTACAAACTTGACACAGAAGATCCATCACTAGAAGAAAACACCAAAGAGATGACTTTTATACAGTATACTGGATGTGAAGATATTGTTAACATTTACCTTTGAAACAAAAATTCCTGGTTGATCTTCCCCGAATGGAGAGCTTGAATGGTCACTTCCCCCTACAATACTTAAACCTAATGGTCCACCAGCTTTCACTATAACACAGTCTTCGAGTGGATATTTACTATCTATATAATCGTCTACATGATTAGCCACAGGCTCACTAGGAGCTGCTGGTTTAGGCATTTGAATAGTTTGTCTTTCTACGGCCATTGTCCGATGACCTGGATCGGTCTCTTTATCACTAGGTTTATTATTGTTTATATTTACACTATTAACAGAGTATGGTATGCTATTTGAAACTGGCGACACATTGTTTATACTAGAAGTATCCTTTTTCGTCACACTAGCCTCCTTACGTTCAGATCCTGAAGTCCGTGAACCAGGACGATTAAATCCTGGATATTGGAATTTTGGAGGCTGAATTGCCGCTGGCGGTGAATTCCAATCCGATGATAAGGTACGCGGACTCAATGACGGAGACGCGACTTGGTTTGAAGATTGTGACGGGGGGACTCTGGGGTGGGTATTTATCGATGAAAAGGGGAAAAGCAAATGCATTGGGGGTGGTGAGGTGGGGAAAAATTGGTGCTTGGGTGTTAGCCTGGGGGTGGGGGCCACAGGAAGGGGGGGGGGGATCGGGGTCTTAGGGGATAACTACAGGAGGGTGTGGGGGAAAAAACTCTACTGCTTGTGAAAAATCCACAGTATTTTCATCTGTATTATTGGTGCTGTTGGAACTAAAGTTTTGTTTTTGCTGGTATTTTGGGGAGCTAAAAGTTTTATTCCTATAATCCCCTTGGTTGTGAAAAAGGGGTTTAAAAACCCTTTCTTCCTTGGGGGGTTTTTTTCTCAGCTTTCCTTTTTGTCAAAAAATCTTTTTCCCGTATACAAAAAAGTTTTTTTTCACGACTACAACCCGTACAGATTCACACCTGATCATGTCTCGCATCTGTTAAATCAACTCCATTTATCTGAATTCAATTAAAAACATCATGGTAAAACACTGCAAACAAAAAATAGAAGTGTTGCAAAACTAGTTAGTTTTGCACGATTTTTTCAAATGCAAGTTTGACCAAAGAACAACAGACAGTTCTATGTATAATTTTAAAGTCTCAAAAATACTTATAAGCAATAAAGCCAACACACTCCCAAACTTTTACTGGTAGAGAAAGGCTCCATATAGGCCTCTTTGTGCATACTGACTGACTTAGTAGAAACATTGACCTTTCATAGCTGGATATTAATATTTAATAAAAGAATCATACTGAAGATAACTGGATGACAACAACTTACAGAGAGAATTTTATCGCCAACTTGAAGCTTATTGTCCCTAGCTGCTTGTCCTCCTTCAACAATACGAGAGATGTATATTGCCTGTAAAAAACAAAACAATCATTAACAAGAGGTGTCAGTAGGACAGCATGCTCTACTATTCTCAGTGCTTGATAGTAAAAAAGCTTCATTCAGTAACCTCCACCAGGTAGAGATTATGATGGTGAACAAGTGTGCAAAGTTACAAAGTCAAATGTCAATGGAATTTGAAAATATTTGAGGTGGTACGCAAACTATAACGTAAATTCTAAGTCAAAAAGTTGCATAATTCTGTCAAAATGCTTGATAGAGTAACAGGTTGGGGGCATGATGGTGAAAAAGTGAGCAAAGTTTCAAAGACAAAAATATATTTGAGGTGGTAAGCAAACTTTAATATTGGTGGTTATGCTGATTCCGACACCAATGCTCGGGGGAATAGGAAAGCTTTCTTTTTTCTTAAACAAGCTAAAAAATATATCTTTCTCATCTGTGGTTAAAACAGTAGCTATTAAAAATTCCCAGTGTAGATAATGCTTTCTCCGGTGTAGCACTATTTCACAGCTTTTTTGTGTATTCAATTTAGAAATCACTCTAGAAGCAATTCATAAATAACTATCTATTTAACAAAGTTTGCAAACTCCTTAAAAAAGAGGGGTTTAACCCCTTGAAACATGAAATAGATAGTTTTTTATTTATTAAAATATACTTGAATGACTTTTGAAACAGGCATGTAACACATCATAGTGAGAAAAAGTGTACTTTACAACACAAACATTTGTGAATTTCAAGTTTGAAATGAACATGAATATAAATTATTTCTGTTTCAGAACTTAAAATTCAACAGCAAAACACTAATGTTAAATAGCCAACAGTATAGAGTATAGTAATATTATGCCTTTATGTAGAATGGCCTGGCTTTATACAGGTGGTGGGTGTAAGTCTCCCAGTAGCAAGTGTTATGATAATTTGCTCAAGCAAGCTGACATCTGATTAGTCATATCAACAACACACAATTAAACAATGATCAAAATGAATGCAACATGCTGTAAAATCAAACCTGTGTTAATCAAAGGACTATTTGGACATTTAGATTAGTAAGACAATTGCTATTTGGAGTTAAATGTGGGTAGAAACTACAATAATTCACTTCATCAAAACTGAGTTTGAAATATATTTGCAGCTTCGAGATTGTAAACTTTAGACATTTCCTGACCATGGTGGGTTCATTCAAATATTAAACCTACAAACCCACACATACACATGGGCAGTGGGACAGTGAATTGCATCAGCTTTTAACTATATTTTCATTCAAAGTTAGGTTATTTTATTCATTCCTCTTCAAAATCATTAATATAAGCACTAGAAAGTAAGGTTCTTTATCCATCAAAACTACATAAATTTTGGAAAACTTTCCTCAAAGTTCCATAGCTAAAACCTTAATCAGAACATATCACAATCAAATACTTATAAACAAAATTTTATGTATAACCTTATTGTGCAAAACAGTCTATCTTTCTTGTATTTTATCTTCTTTACATGCCAAATATCTAAGCTCTTGGCATTGCAGCTTCTCAAAATAAGACTTAAATATCTTTTCCTGTAAGTTATTGGCATTAAAATTAAGTCTCAAATTTGTTTTTAGTAAGCAAAGCTATAAAACTCAAATTATTCCTTGAGCAAAGCCAATATTGCACCCAGGGGCATGTTTCATGTTAGTTGAAAGTCAAATAGGTAATACTTCATGCTAAATATTGTAGTTTCAAAAAAGAAAGTTTTCTTATATAAGTCTATATAAATCAAGTGATCCTCGAGGCGGGGTAAATTTAAATCTCAGAAAGCCCAAACCTGTGCCCTGCAGATTGTCTCATTATATATGTAATATTTCTGCCAATCAGTTTGGACAGAAAATTATGAAAATCATATAAAATGACTGAGTGTGACCTTGACCTGAGGAAGCCTTATTATGATAAACATTTCTGTCCAGCAGTTTCAATTTTCTTCAAAAGATACAGAGCAGACAAGGAACTGATAACAGATGGACGGACAACCAAGTGCATCACAATATATGCCAAAAAATAGGGTGTTAAAAAAATACATTGATTTCTGTTTTAGTACAATGCCATACTGTTACCACACATTCATGTTAGAACTTACAGAGTATCTAGGTGTCTTATCAAACTGTTAAGATAAAAAAGTTAGTTATTTTATGCATCATACAGTTAAATTTCATGAGCAGGATTTTAACAACTTCTCACACAGGAACCATTTCACATCATGAACAACCATTTTAAATTATAAATTCTGAAAATATTCCTTTTATTAAAATAGTACAAATCATATTCTTTATGCAATTTATCATAATACATGTAATTGTCAAATCTCTTTTTTACCCAACACCCCTCTTCTGAACATTGACAGGTGATGAGCATAAATGAAGTTGATTCGAACTTCATTCATATCTCTGAGCAAAAGACAACTTATATAGCTGTGGATTATCATTTTATCACATTATACTGCATTTTACACCATTTTGTTCAAAACTCAAAGCCTATATTGTCTATAGCCTATAGGGGTCTAGGTCTTGCATATGATGCACTGGCTTATCAAGCTATACATGTGTCAAGTTCAAATTTCAAAATCCCTTGATGCATGACACAGCAAGGTTTTTCAAACACACACTCCTATGCATGCACAGACGGACAGGGATAACACTATATGCCCCCCTTGCCTTTTTATCAACTAGGAGAGTATAAAAATATTCAGACCAAGTGACCTTGACCTCAACAACCTTATATCTCATCTAAGTTGCGAGGTCTATATAATGTCACCTTCAAACTGAACAAATGAAAGGTCACATATGACAAATGGTGAGCAAAGGGTGACAAAACAGCAACTATTATGCTCCGACAAAATGTTTTATTCTGTTGAGCATACAGGTAACACAAAATGAATGCAAAATGCAAATGGGATGCAAATGCAACAATAATATCATAAAACTAAACTTTGAATGCATCATTCTTTTATGCTCATACTAACCTCAAGAAATGAATAAAATATCTGAAAATATTTTTATCAACAAATTTTTAAAAAATTTATACATACAAAGTCGTCTTTAGTTGCCTAATCGTGATCATCATTAAAAGCAGTGTTACTTATTTTAGTTTCATTTTATGAGAAAACTGTCTCGATATAATAAAACATTATAATGACCTAACAGTTAACATTCTGAAGAAACTGCTAGAAACTAAAAAACAATTTTTATTCCTGAATTAAATTCTCAATGTAAAAGAATAAGAAAATATAGGCCATGATTTTTTAAAATTAATTCAATATAGTTGTTTTATAGAGACAATGTAGTTATTTATTAAGCGAAGGAGGTCTGAGTGTATCTCGTTAAAATTTACTTTTTCTTCATCATATTTAAAATGTTATTTACTTTTCCTCCCATAAGACAAATATAATATGTTCTTTAAAATAAAGTATAATAAGAACAAAATACATACAAGTAAACATATTTCTTAATGATTAAGTTAAGAAAATAATATGTTCACTTCTACATGAAAAAAATTTCTATGTCAGCAATTTTTTGTTTCCATTTCTTAGCATTATTTATTAGTATTATTATCTTTGAAAAAAAAAATCTTGACAAATAATGGACTATCTTATTTGTTGTTTTTTTTCATCATTTTCAACATTCACCATATTCCCTATATTGACATTTATTACATGCTTTTCGGTGGTTCATAGAAATATATCAGTGATATAAAACTGGTAATTTCACTGTTTGAAACAGTGAAATTACCACTTTGATAATTTCACTGTTTTGAATTTAAGCCCCTTACGTTGTTTCAGTTAAATACCAGCGTGCACAGAACTGGGTACCAACTTAATGACGTGATGTCGTAAATGATGTCACGTTGTATTATTATTTGGCACGCTTTTCATTCAGTATTAGGTTTAATGTCTTTTTAAAACGTTTCTTTGCATATAATAAAAAGAAAATTTGTTTAGTTTAGCCTAAGATCGAAATATATTTTACCTTGTGAACACCAAAAGTTCATATTTCACTCGTGGCTGCGCCACTCGTGAAATATACCTTTTGGTGCTCACTCAGTGAAATATATTCCGATCTTACACTGAACTAAACAAATATCCTCTATTTAATTAGCAAATATTGCAAAAACCAGGTTAGTGTATACATCTATCTTAACCATCAATATATCGAGGGTTGACCGTAAAATGGCAGTAACTTATTTATATATATATATATATAATAAAGAAGGACTTACAACAGTTTTGCGGTCAACCCTCGATATAACCATGAATTAGTATAATAATGATGATGCTCATTTGAAATGTGTAATTGAAATTCAAAATCTCATTCAACTTACGTTATCATTTCCTTTATATGGAACAGATCCCCGACCTCCAGCAATACTGAACCCAAGACCTCCGGCATCCCGGTGCAGCACCGTTTCTATCTTCTCACCATATACATCAGTTCCAGGCTCAGGTTCAAAAGTAACTGTTGCGAAACTGGCAGTCATAGCTGGTTGAGTAACATTCTCTGCCTGTAGATGTACATTCACATCTTCCTGAACCTACAACACAATAATAAGGTTAAAGATATAGGGCATATTGAATGATTGTAAGTTCGTAATTACGAGCAGACAAGTGGAATTTTCAATCTCTGAAAAATGCTTTCATTTTGAATAAACCATCTGTAAATTGTACTTTATCTCTGTGAAAAAGAACACTATCAGTGTTTTCTCCATCTATTTGAGAAATTGATCAGCTGAATTTAGACATTTGGAAATTTGATAAAAAAAATTTCACAACATGAAATAACGTTAATTTGAAAAATACATAGGAGTTGAAACAACAACCAGAATATTATAAGTGAAATTATTAATTAGTAATTTCCCGTCTAATTTTTTGGAAAATTAAATACTTCTTTTTGCCATTTGGGAATTGAGTTGTTTACAGAATCTAGAAACAAGGCAGATCAAAAACACGCTGATTATAAATAGATAGAAACATTATATTCACCTGTATTTGTTCTTCTGTCACTTCTTCATCTTCTTCTTCATCATCTTCTGTCTTCCGTGTGATGATTGTTTCCCGGCCGACCACCATAGTGATGTCATTACCACTGCCCTTTAATACATCTACGGCCTCGTAATGGTCCGAGTCATTAAGAACTATACCATTTACCTGTAACATAAACAGTGCATTCATCTTATGTAACAGAGCAAATCTTTAAAATCTAAAATATCAAATCAAGTATTGTCTTTTAAGCAAGTGGTGGCCTTATGGTTGTCTGCCTCTCAACCCAGGGATCATGGGTTGGAGCCGTACTTGGGTCATGACCATGTTTCTTCATATGACACCAATACTGGTTGGTTCCAGGAAGCAGACTAGAAAGTGATACATATCAGTTGCAAGAACTTTATTCGCAATTGAGACTAAATAAATATGTTTAAACTTGCAAAAAAAAAACCTTTTCACACTATTCAACAAATAACTAATGCAGTTTTAGAAATAATCATGTAATGTACAGTTGATGAATCATGAAATAACTTTCCCATGTATCTATATATTTAAATACTCCGGCATCGTGTAAATTAAGCATTAATGAAAAATTCAACAAAATAACTTTAATAATCCACAAGTTTTTGTGTTAACCAACAGGTATAAAGAAATTTACTGAATTGCATACCACAGAATTGTAATACTGTTATATTACTAGTATTTAGTTAATTAACATTAATATGCCAACAATTTCCAGTCATCAAAAAGTCATGGTCAAAAGCACTATTCTAATTCAATAGGGCGCTCTGTGTAATTAAAAGGTAAGGTTCATGGAAGGGCCCATGATAATGTTGTAAAATCTTTTTGCCCAACCCTTTTGTATATTGTGTAATTATGTTTAAGAATTTATGTATATTTATATATGCTTTAAAATATTATAAAACAAACAGGGAGCCATGTAACTCCACTCAATGTACAACTTACGTAAATACAACTTAATTGAATAATGTAATATCCAAAACAATAACTTCTCTCCTTTTACTAATTTAAAATAGCAAGAAAAAATGTTAGAACTTACAGACATGAGCTTGTCTCCTACTTTAATTCCTGCTAAACCAGCTGGTCCATCTTCCGAAACTCTCGAAATAAAGATACTCTGTAAGAAGAACAATGGACTTGTTAAATTCGACAAGAAATAAATAAATACAAGAAATATAATTTGCGGAACAATGAAAATAATATGTAATACTGTGTTTTGTTTATGTTCTAATATTGATCATGCAGTATTTCATTCATTAATGACCTCTCATCCAGGACTTATCAATGTTACTAGCTTTTATCTATTCAAACAGCTGTCAATTTTTTTCATCCTCAAAAAAGTGGGACCAGCCATTTTTTTTACATTTAGTCTAACATTTGCATTATAGACAGATATAGCTTATGAACAGGGTATAGGAAACATTCACACAATCAAAGACTTTAACTTAACACTACAGAATAATTTCCATTCAGTAATTAGCTAGAAATCAAATTTGTTGACATTCCTTTAAAACATTAAAGACTCGATCCAGTAAAATTAAAATAAATAACACAGTCAATGTTTTACACTATACACTACATTTAAATTTGCAATGACTGATCTATCTAGTCTAACCACTGCTAAGTATTGACTATTGACACATCTCTGAGACTCAAACCGATACACCTAAGTTTTATCTCCTGTAAGTAGGCGGCAAGTTTGCAGATTTACTATTTAAAGTATACTTTTTTCATTTCTGCTTTGCCTTTCCCTTTAATATAGATAGCCCTTATTCCAAAGCTTGACACAGTTTTTATTATACTTGCAGTAATACAGCTAGCATAAATGACTACACATGACTTTCAATAACTTTCGAAAGAGTGCACAAAAATTTTGAAAAATTTCGTGCCATTATTCATAAACCCCCCAGTGAAATATCCAAAATTTCCATGGGAATCTTAATAACACATGTATGGAGGCACATCGGTGACATAACTAAATGAAAGTCCCTTGTAAAGCAGTTAAGTGTATGCAACAAATGGTCATCGCTCACCTCATCTTCACCTTTGTATGGGGTTGAGCCCTTACCCCCAGCAATACTGATGCCTAGACCTTGTCCTGGTTCCCGGTGTATATTTATTGTGTATTCCTCCTCTATTATTTCTTGCTCCTGAAAATAATTATCGAGACTTTCCGTGAAAAATTCTGTTAGATTACAAAATGAAATATCCAAATAATATGGCAAACAATCAGAGGCAGTGTATTCAGGATTTCATTATAAAGGGCAATCAAAAGTTACTGATGTGACTATTTTAACAATAGATAACAGTAAATCTATTCATTCTTTAGTTAATACAAATTCATTTTAGTTCAATTCTGTTGGAATCTATAAGCTTATTGAAACACTCTCGAATCCGTTCCTGGAACAAACAAGTACTTAGCAATGAATGTAAAGTTTCTTGTTCATTACCTCGAGCTCCTTTTGTGTAGTCTTTGCAAGTATTTCCAGCACTCTGTCTTTAGCATCATCTGATATGACTATTCTCTTGCCTTTTTTATGATGCGGCGTGTCACGTCTACGCAACGGCGTTTTGCGCTCGTCCTCATCGAAATCAAGGTCCTGTGTAAAACCTACGGTCCTTTCCTGATATGTGTATTCCTCATCATCCATGTCTTCTTCCTCCTATGATATAACAGTTTCAAGACATTTAAACTCAACATACAAGTATCAAGTTTTTCACACACTTTTTTTTTTTTTTTTTTTTTTTTTGACCACCCAAATGCCCACCCACCATTAGCAAATCTAATAACCAGGACGTTCAAAATTGAAAAACCCTGTAGGCAAAACCTTTTTTTTTTTTTACTCCATTTTGTATTGCATACCTCACTATTACTTCATCAATTCATATTTATTCATCTTAAAAGCCCATTTAAGCATTATTACCCAATATTGTCACTTTAGTGCAGTAACTGGGTAACTTATTATATAATTTAAAAGGAGTTAATCCATTATTGCACTAAGGTATTACCCAATATGTGTAATCCTATCCTTACTAGGTACTTACAATTAAAGCTGAAAATCTCTTGAACTTCTGAACCAAATTAAACCATCAATTAAACAAAATGCTGATAATCCAAAATTTCACCAAACTTGTAATCTTCAATCTAAACTAACTATATATTTCATTAATGGCTATAGTATAGAATGTGAAACATGACAAAATAGTCAACAATAAGTTAATAACTACAGTCACATCCTGTGATAATTACACACTATAATATCAGCGTGTCTTCACACCACTTACACCTCTTATATCAACTTCCTGTTTGTCTATATAATCTCTTCAAACATTTTAACCTTTCACCCTGTTGAACACGTTAAAATCTGCTCTGGACTTTGAAAGTGATCAATATTATATTAATGAATTTCAGAACCAAAATAAGAAACTGGTCAGATCATATGGACATGCACCAAGCAGACCTGTCTGGCACAAAACCATTCACGCCTGGTGGAACTGAAAGTTAAAAGCCTTTGCCACCAGGGCAGAGCCAGGTCACACTGCACAGATGTATACAGACTGTATTCAAATAAATAAAAGAACTTTTGAAATTTGCTAATTGTTACCTATTTATATTTATTTTTAACATTTCAAGGGTGAATCCACTCTTTTATTTGTTACGCCAATGACAACCTTTACAGTATTTGCATCATTTGTTCAAATGAAGTTAAGGGTCCTTTTTTTTTCATGCTGGTGTTCATTATATTACCAACCCTTAAAGCATTAAAGCAAATCCTAAGAGGTACACCATTTAATCACTAAAACATGTATTAACCTCATGACTATCCTCGGCCTCATGTTCAGCCTCCTCGTCAGCCTCGTCTATTCCCTCATCCCTCTCCTCCTCCTCATTCTCACCCTCGTTCTCCTCCTCCTCGTCCGCATCGTCATCGTGCTCCATCTGGGCCGCCACCTGTGGTAAAGTTGTTGTTGTTGTAACTATGGTTACCTCACGTAGCAACGGTTGCGATTCTTTTGGAGGCTCCTCTTCCTCTTCTTCCTTCCCTCCGAAATGCTGACGAGGTTCCGAGTCTAGTCTCTTCGTTTCCAACTCTGGGGCTATTGAAAAACAAATATGACAGTATGTTGATATGAATTTAAATTCAATGCCCTTAATTCAAATAAATTTTACAAGTAATCCTGAACTGATTAAGCAATTTTTATTGTCCAATGGATACAGATACTTTAGCTATATAAAAAGTTATCAGTTACAAATTGAACAGAAAGTTGAAGATATATGTAATAACATTTCACTTGCTGGACCAAAAGTAATAAGCCTTTTCCACAAGCATAGAGTTAGGCCGACTTATTTGATCAGGCTCTTTATACTGTTCGTACCTGTATTTTGATATTAAAATCCCTTATGACTTCAAATGGACTGTTCCAAATTCATAGTAGGGCAAATCCATTTCACAAATTCAGCTTATAAAAGTAAAACTGACTTCAATTTTTGAAATAAATTTCTACCTCTCAAAACAGCTTCATCACGGACTGATGACTTCCTCTCAGGTACTGGCGGTTTTTCCCGTTTAGGGGGCGGAGGAATTTCTATTTCTATGTCAGCACTGCTGTCTCTCATTGGCACGAATGAGCTCACCTGAAATAACAAGTCATTTATTTTCATGTAGCATATTATCACCTTAGTGCAGTAATGAGTTAAGTCCTATTAAATCATATAAGAAGTTAACCCGTTACTGCAATAAGGTGACTATATATACTGTAAATTAAAGCATATTAAGCTTTATTAAACTATCTGTGATCACTAGATTATTTCTTTTGAATCCTGATAAAAAGTATACCAAAGTATCTAATATGAAAAAATAATGTTATAATAATAAGGGAATTGTACAAGCGTACAAACAAAATTCAACTCCTGAAAAATCACATACAATTGCAAACTATGACATTACCATACAATGGTTTAAAGGAAAGTTAAATTTTTACCTGATTTTTCTGTTCATGGTGTGGTATAACATGGCCATCAATACCTTTTGTAGCTTTGAACTTTGGATGTTTACCCCGCAGGTCCCGTGGATGAGGTGTATCATGTCGTACAAATGGCTGTAAACATAAGTTAGTAAAACATATACATAACACTTGATTGTGAGATAACATAAACATTTCATTTTGAAGGGCATTTTGACAAACCAATGGTGTAACGGTTAATGGCGTCTATACAAAATCAATTGTTGGGAAGCCAATCCCAAGTGCCCCTTTATACATATTTCAAACATAGGTCAATGATTTTTGATTTATAGATAATTTATTTCAGTTCAATTGTGTAGGGAGCTTATAGACACAATTTCAAATCCGTTCCTGGAACCAACCAGTACTGAGCCAGTAGTGTTAAGTTTCTTGTTGATGGAAACAACTTGCCCTAGTAAGGGCCTGAACCCATGCAGCTAGCAATCATTAGATTACTAGTCCGATGCCTTAACCACTCAGCAATGCCACCAGTGTGGCAGACAACAGGGTAAAAACAATGGCATTTAAACATAGCTTGATAGCTTCCTAACATGAAACAATCTATACAACAGATGAGATTCAAAGTAATATAAATGGTCACTAACATTAAACATTTCATAAAAAGACTGTAATTTTGACTCCACGATTTGAAATAATGTGACAACTGATAACATTACCTTGTCAAAGTCATCTTCCCCACTGTCACCTTCCTCTTCTTCTTTATCCGACTCTGCGAAGCGTATCACACTTTCCCGTACTTTCTCTGGTTTCTCCTCCTTCCAGCTGAGGCGACTGTCACGATCTGTCGCGATACTGCCTTGTAGGAGATTCTCTGTAAGTAAAATAAACAAAGTTCGATTTAACTAAAGATCTTGACAATGAGGTTGTGTATCTCTTATTGTCTTTTAACAATTATAGTGTATCCAACTTGGAAAGTTGCATATTCATTTCAACCTATGATAAAGCTATGATATATGTGCTCTCTAGAATAAAACCATACATTGTACAGTAACATTCAGTAAAAAGTTGTGTCATTTCATCCCTTCAAATGAACATACCAGTCTTATTGTAATTATTCTGATGTATTTTATCTCCATTCTGATATATATATATATTATCACATAAACCATGTGCTGCAGTGTAAGAAAGCCATTTTATAAAAACCCTATATTACACTAGTGTAATAACAATTCAACTTGGTATTGTTTACATTATTTACAAACATAGTGTCAAAGCTTGCTAATGTTTGCGCTACACTTAGGCGCATCAATAAAATAGCACTCTTTTTAGCTGTAAACTGTTCTTATTTATATAGAATATTATATTCATGTAGATTCAATACTAAATATATTGAACTTGTTGAATAAACAATATTCAGAGGCTAGAGACTCACATAATATGATATTATTCAACTCGTTCAGTAAATTTAATATTAAATCTATATTCATCTATATCCTCTATATATAGTTACAAGATTAAAGTTACTCAAAAACAAGATGTTTGCCGATGTAAAGCTTTAATAAAGCCATTTGACACATAAAATATGGCAGTATGATTTAGTATTAACCTACTATTACTTCCATTTCCTTTTATTATTTTGTGCCATTAAATGTCAATTTTGTATCATAAAATGTCATTAAGTTCTTTTATAAAGCATTCAAATATAAAAAATAGGCTGCAAAGTAAATAATATTTAAGATTTTTTAAAAAAATGAAAATTCATTCCAAGCAGCATCTCCAAACCATGCAGAAAACAATCTTAATAAATTATAAGTGCAAAAAATACTATTGCAACATAAATGTGAAAAATTTAAAAACAAATTCCTGCATGCTTTATCGACCTAAGAAATAGTACAATAATATTACAACCATCTCTGGGTTTGTTTCATGCCAAAATGGTTGGCATGGTAAGAAATAGGGAAGGAAGGGACTACTTGGCCAAACATAAATTAATTCGAGTTAAATTTAGCAAGTAAATAAAAATTTAGGTATCATTCTTTTTAAATACAGTATAAACTATAATATATACCCTTTTATTTCAGTTCAGTCATGATTTATATTTTTGTCCATACTCAAGTATTGAAGGTGATTAATTACCCCCCTGAAGCAACTTTGACTTTTTGAAAAATAAGTAGTCTGAAGAAAAATTTGAACTTAACCTATAGTTAATGAAGTATCAACTATGTACAAAGATTTATTTCAATTAATTGTAATCCCAGCCGGGGTCTTCATATACGCTTACTTTACACCAAGTTTGATTACAATATCTCCTTCCTAACTCTATTTTTTTTTTTCCTATTTTTAGTCACGGTGACCTTGTCCAAAGGGGGTCCAAATGCAATACCAACCGGGGTCTTCATATAAGCTTGTTATACACCAAGTTTGATTACAATACCTCATTCCAAACTAGTGATCATCCAGAAACCATGATGTGGACAGACCAACTGACAAACTGACTCCTATATACCCCCTCCCCACTCTCCCTAAACTTTGTTTATAGGGGTAAAATAAACAAGATTTATCCCATTCTATGTCAGGATATGTTTCATAAGCATGCAGTATCAAATGATGCCTACTAGGCCTGGCTTAAAATATGATCATTTATGAGACAACTAGTCCATATGTTAACATTCAAGAATTATTGTGTTATGGTATACATAACTTTTCTGTTTATTTACCTATATTCTAGACAAAGTTCTCGTCATCTACATATTTGATCACATACATGAGTAATTTTGTTATGGTTGAAACAAAATACATGATTTTCAACCAACCACAATGCTCAAGAAAACCATATCATGTCCTAAATCATGTCTACATGAAAATAAGTTAAGCTATGACCATCCAATCACAATGCTTGAGTTACATTTTTCACATCCTGATTAAGAATAGTTTTGCTATGGCCTTAATTGTACATACAAACACTAAAAATGCTCGAGACAAATTTTGTACTGTCTTTGAATCACGTCTAAACATAAAGAATGCAATTATGTTAAAGTATCACATATTAATAATATGTAGGCATAAGTTAAATCATTCCTGGGTGCACACTATAAGCAACCTACCGGCCCCACCCTGGCTTATAATCAATGTGCCGCCACCGTGGAAGCGGGCACGATTAGCCAATTCCATCTGCATTAATGGGTCAAGGTTAGTTGAATGACCTAAAACTGTTTCAAAAGAGACTTCAGTTAGTTCCATTTCTCCACACAAAACGTCGGCAACACTTGTCCAGTATATATGGCAAGAAAACCAGATTTCAATAAAACAAACAAACAACAAGTCTATGCATTCATCAAACAATAACATTACAATTCACATACTACAAGATGTCTTAAGAATTCACAAGGTTTGTTAAGTTTGAATATTTCCTCTTTTTTTACTTTGATTTATGTAATGCTACACCAAAAGATGAATTTATTAGCATAGTTACAGAATATACAACAAAAAGATTTAAGATTTTTTATTTGAATATCTAAACTTTATCTTTAAACATTGAAAAATGCAATTTCATAACAGCTGATGTTTAACCATCACCGACTGTGATAAATACCTCCTGCAAACAGCTTTAAGCCTAAAACAAGAACCACCGCAAGCTGGTGCCAAACCAGACTTTTCTTTATTATGTAATGCCACAAAGTGATTGAGACCTTAATTGGTTATACTCGAATATGAATTGTATTTAATCCTTTCATAAATAAAAAAAATCTGCCCAATTTAGAAACAGTGATTTTATCCTAAAGGTCAAGGTCATATCATATCAAGGTCAAGTTGAGTTTGACCTACTTCAATGTATTCTACACCTATTACATTGTCTTAATTCATGAACATTAACTAAGAAGTTTTATTGAATAAAAGGTTTGCTGTAACTGTTCCATTTCAAAATCTGGTGCCACAGGACTGATACATACAGTACAAGAAAAAAATTTGAAATCCCATGTGACTGGAACAAGTCAGGCTATTGGGTCACATAAAATAAGTAAAGAATAAATGAGTGTATGAAGAAAATGAAGTTTAGTGAGTGTTTTTAAGTAACCTACAGAAAAAGAGAAAATGCAATTCACAGAAAACAAGAACGCATTATTATAAATTCTACCATATATCAAATAAACAGCAGCAGTAGTAGCAGCAGCATCATACAGGGTAAAACATGACCAGTTTAAAACTTAAAGATCCTGAAAAATAAAGTAGTAAGCCCTTTGCCAAATAGTATTAAGCCAGGCCAGACTGCAAACCTGTGTAGTCTGGCCAACCTTTATACTGTTGGTGGCTCCCCATTTTTTGTTTTATTTCGAATGGATTGTTCCTTTATATCAAAGCTGAGCATATCCATTACACAAATTAGCAGACTTAAGGTTTTAAAGTATTACAATACATATACTACGGTTAATAATAGAGTGCCAAAACCATGTGATTATAACATCATTATTTGATAAGATAAAAAACTTTTTTAGCTATCTTTCCACTAGTATTTAGATTTTTTAAATCAAAATCTTTCTTTCTCAATAAAATCAAAATCAAACGGTGAAGCCTAAAATTTACCATTACTAGAGAACGAGATTTTCATTTGCATTTAATACAGTAGTCTCCCTTTAATCACACAAAATGTGCTCAGGTGAACTAAAAAAAAAACATGCAAATTTACATTTTAAGTTACCTCCCTTTAGTAACACAAGCATTTGATAGTATTGCGGGCAATACAGTAGTCCCCTACCGGTCCCTCAAAAAGTTCTTTAATTGTCATACACTCCTGTGTATTGCCATTTATAATGAATTTGAGGATGAAGTCTGTATTTGAAAATATCGACCACAAAACATAATAAAATAAGTTTGTCTATATCACAGTAATGTGTTAAGTTTCCATGCTTAGTAAGGAAATTATGTTTATACAACCTTGTCATATTATTACGATGTGGGATTTTAAAGTAAATCCTATAAGGAATGAAGAAGTTGTAGTGAAAATACCAGTTTCTCGAAAAAAATCTAAGTTCAAGGGGGACATAATTCTGGAAATAGTCTTGCTAGAGTATTTAACCTTCTCAAAAATTTCGAGTGATAATAAGAAACATATATATGAAGTTTGAAGTAGATACATTAGGAAATAAAGAAGTAATTTAAAAAAGACAACATTTTTTCCCCTAAAAAATCTAAGTTCAAGGGAGGTAATACTGATATTTTTTGTGCTAGAGTTATAAACCTTGTCACATATGATGTGGTTGATGACCAGAAACTTATATTTAAAGTTTGAAGTAAACACCTTAAGAAATAAAGAACTTATAGTGAAAAAGCTGAAAAATTTAAATCAGAAATCTTGAAATTCAGGCTATTTGTTGCCATAGCAACCAGAATTTTCAACATAGGAAGAAAAGAAAAAGATGTGCATAATCTCCAGACTGCCATCTACCCATATTTCAAGTTTCATAAAAATATTTTCAGTACTTTTTGAGTTATCACTGGATCCAGTTTATGTGTTAAATTTGCCATATTTTCAGACTATTTGTTGCCATAGCAACCAGAATTTTCAACATAGGAAGAAAAAAAAAAGACGTGCATAATCTCCATACTGCCATCTATCCATATATCAAGTTTCATAAAAATATTTTCAGTACTTTTTGAGTTATCACTGGATCCAGTTTATGTGTTAAATTTGCCATATTTTCAGACTATTTGTTGCCATAGCAACCAGAATTTTCAACATAGGAAGAAAAAAAAAAGACGTGCATAATCTCCATACTGCCATCTATCCATATATCAAGTTTCATAAAAATATTTTCAGTACTTTTTGCGTTATCGCGGGATCCAGTTTTGTGGACGGACGGACTGACGGACTGACAGACTGACAGACAGACAGACGGACAGACGGACAGACAGACAGACGGACAGACGGACGGAGGGTAAACCTAAAGTCCCCTCCGGTTAAACCGGTAGGGGACTAAAAAAGCTAAATTTGCAAACTCGACTGAAAATATAAGTTACCTCCCTTTACTCACACATAACTGAATTTCAAATTTGTATATTTCAGTAAAATATGATAGGTCATGTTTTACCCATAGAGAATATATGTGAAAGCCTCACTAGAGTTTTCTACAAAGCTTGAAAATGTAAAAAAACCAATGTCTGAAGAAAAGACATGATATGCATACACTCCATATAGAAATACTACAATTTATATATAATATAAAAAATAATACAAAAAACATAATTCTGCAAAAATATAAACACAATATGATCTGAATAAAGCTGGACTAGATAAAATAATATAATTGACTTATGTATCACATAACTCTAATAGCACCAAATAATGAAGAGGAAAAAAAACAAGAAAGAAAAGGATATAAGGCAAGGAGAATTAAAGTTTTAAGAATAGTATGTTACAAAGTGAAAGTTGAAAGAAACAAAATATTGAATGTTTGGTGATCGCCAAACACTTTAAAATCTTTTAAGATACTGAAAACGTTGGCACACATGTAAAACCTATATGATAAAATTGTGACAAGGTCAGCAAATATAATCAGTCAGTCCCTATATGTCTTAAATTTAGAGGAAACCATGTCTAAATTAACAATTCATTGACCAAGGAAAACAACCCTATGTCCTTAATTTTTTTTGGGGCCAACAATTTTTATGGGACAAAAAAAATGAGGTAACTAAAAACTATTTTCTAATACTTTCACTATGGAATGCAAAATTTATAAAGTTGGCTTGATTGTTAATGATTATGAAAGTCTGTATCAGAAGTTAAGCAGCATGTCAAGGTCGGACGATTTAGGTACCTATAACAGTGGTATGCCCTATTGTTAAAGGAGAGAAAATGGTTGTTGATACAACATATCAACATAAAATTCAATAATCTGGAAATCCTCTTTATAGAACTAAGAAAGAAAAACTTGAGAGTCTTACTGTATTGTTCTCAAGGCTTTTGATGTGAAACACCAAGTAAAGAGGATAAACAAAGGGAGACAATGAATACAATACTAAATGTTCACAACAAACCTACCCAATTTCAGTGTAGTACACCTAATGTCAAAGCGACATAAGACAAAATACAGAAATACAACAAGGTTTGTATACAACACATACCCATACTTTCAGTGTGGAATGCCTGTTGTGGAAGTAAGAAGCATGTTAGAACCTTCTGACCCGTCCGCTCGTCAAAGTCCGTCTGGAACTTTAGCATCGGCTGTGCCTGGTTCTCGGACAGCCACAGTGCACTGAGGTTTAAGTTGGTCACTGTGATTGGTAAGTACTCCAACCTGGTTATGTAGATAGAATATGTTATTACACAATGTTCATCAAAAGTTTGAAATTCATTCAATTTTTATCATCACGCTTATCTGGGAATTGGAATTAACAGCAAGCTTTTTTTTTTTTGAGATAAACACGTCAGATCTGGTTTGTGAAGGTCAAACAATAGTCATTTATAACATGTTTGGTTTTTTAAACTTCATTCAGATAAGATTTTCTAATATTATCTACTTTAAATCAAATTTTATCATCTTTTTTCCCACAACTGAGATTGTTTTTCACATTTTGGCTACAGGCTCTTAACTACTTCCTGCCTTCATTAAAAAATTTCCTACAATATTTAAGTGTCTTAGTAGAAGATATAACCAAGAAAATCTGCAAAAAAAAAAATCATGTACCTGTTTCCAGACACATCCAATACATGGAGATCTTTGAGGTTGCCTAGCTCTTGTGGTAATCTTAGTAACCGATTGTCCCTCATTGACAAAATATCTAACCTCTGACATTTACCAATCTGTACAAGAATGAAAAGAATATTTATGAAATGTTCATATATAAATAGGCAGAAGATATAGTTGAAACATGATTGTTACCCACAAACCACTGTGTTATTTATATACATGTACTATACATGTCTATAAGTCAATTGAGAATATAGCATTCTTTGTAAATAAGCAAATTGATTAAACTCCGTTTAACTCCATTATATATCATATTAAACTGTATATTCATAATTTCATATTGCAGTATATAATATCATATTTATGATAGTTACAGATTCCAGTTTAACACAGGTTTATCTTTTTATATGTCATATACTGTATAAGTGGATATTTCAAATGTAGAAAAGTTAGCAAATTTAAAATTCCAGATATTTCATGTCAGGAAATATTAGCAAATTGTGGAAGGGTAGCATTTAATGACAGGTTAGTTGATATTTATGCTAGAGGAAATTTTAGCTATTTTCATCAATTCGTGAAATTCGTCAATATTTCCAAGTCATTAACTTATACAGTAAATATTTCATTAAAGATTTCAGAAAAACTATACAACATTATATGTTTGCATACATCAACTGGGATTTCAGTAAGTCTATTTCTGTCCACATTAAAGTTGGTCATCTTCTTTAACTTCCCTATTGTATTTGGTAATTCCTGAAAGTATAAATGTATTTATTATTACTTTGAACACAATTTTGGTAATGATCACAGTAAAGATCACATCATGAGCACAAAGTACGTTTAAGATTTCGAAAAGAAGCACTTTTCCAGATGAACAAGGGTCACACTGTCAATCGCCATCAATGGCGATAATTTTATCAAAGGGGAAAATATCTTTTCATTTTGACCTTAGAAACTGGTAATTTTAAAGGTCACATGGCATCTTTTCATTGCAGGAGGAACTTGGATGCCCGTCTGTGCGTTATTTCAGACATGAGTGAGCAACTGCATTTAATCATTCATATCCTAGCAACTGGACACCTTCCTTACATGAAAGAATCCTGTCCTTAGTTGGAGATTTGAACCCACAGCCGTGAGACACAAGCCGCATTATGTCAGCTACCTTAACTAGATAGGCTCCTAGAACTAAAATTCCAACATTTTTAACAGTATTTTTTCCCTTTATACCACAAACAGACAGGACTTTAGGCACATGTATTATAAATGGATTTAACTCAATACAGGATTGGAGCAGTACCTCTAGACGCTTGCAGAAATCATGATCACAAAATAAACAAATATCGTTTTTTTCGCCAAATTTTACATTTTTTCTTGATTATCGTACTTGATTCGGTGTGAAAAGATGAATTAGACCTGTTAAAGTTCATTCCGTTGGGTAAAAAGACAAGATTTTAGCATTTTATCATTCAAGCGCCTTGTCCGGTATATACCGGAATACGGTATTTAGTGTGGTGCTCCAATCCTTTTTTTAGTCACAGCCATTATAAATCTCTTACATGAACTTAACTTTGATAAATAATGAAATAATTATTATCACCACTCATTAAAATAAAAACAGTCTCTACCACAAATTTTCAGAAAAAAAAAAAACAACAACAGACAAACAAATCTTAAAATTTTATGTAACCATATTAAATTCTTATTACAATGTATTAAAGTGGCAGGCCTATGGATGAGTAAAAAATCTTTAAAGAAAAATAAAACCTATATTAACAAGAGCTGTCGGTAGGACAGCAACGCTCGACTATTCTTAGTGCTTGATAGTAAAAAAAATGCCTGATACAGTTACCTCCTCCTGTTTACAGGTTGGGGTCATGATGGTGAACAAGTGTGCAAAGTTTCAAAGCCATATGTCAATGGACTTTGAAAATATTTGAACTATTACAAAAACTTTAACGTTAATTCTAAGTTGAAAAAGGGGCATAATTCTGTCAAAATGCTTGATAGAGTTACCTCCTCCTGTTTACAGGTTGGGGTCATGATGTTGAACAAGTGTACAAAGTTTCAAAGCCATATGTCAATGGACTTTGAAAATATTTGAACTATTACAAAAACTTTAACGTAAATTCTAAGTCGAAAAAGGGGCATAATTCTGTCAAAATGCTTGATAGAGTTACCTCCTCCTGTTTACAAGTTGGGGTCATGATGTTGAACAAGTGTGCAAAGTTTCAAAGCCATATGTCAATGGACTTTGAAAATATTTGAACTATTACAAAAAACTTTAACGTAAATTCTAAGTCGAAAAAGGGGCATAATTCAGTCAAAATGCTTAATAGAGTTACCTCCTCCTGTCTACAGGTTGGGGGTCATGATGGTGAACAAGTGTGCAAAGTTTCAAAGCCATATGTCAATGGACTCTGAAAATATTTGAACTATTACAAAAACTTTAACGTAAATTCTAAGTCGAAAAAGGGGCATAATTCTGTCAAAATGCTTGATACAGTTACCTCCTCCTGTTTACAGGTTGGGGTAATGATGGTGAACAAGTGTGCAAAGTTTCAAAGCCATATGTCAATGGACTTTGAAAATATTTGAACTATTACAAAAACTTTAACATAAGTGGTTACGCCGACGCCGACGCTCGGGTGACTGCAATAGCTCTACTTATTCTTATCGAATAGTCGAGCTAATAAAATTATAGACTAGAAAATGTACATTTAATATTCACACCTCAGTTTAACTTTTTTAAAAGTTCAACATATTGTGCAAAATAAGACTGATTTTTTTTTATTTTAACTATCATAATTCTATCATAAATTACTATGAATAGAAAATTCTAATGTATTTTATAGGTAACATCCGAGTGCTTTAAAGCCAGGTTAAATGTTATTACCCAGTACACATGGCATCATTTTACTCATCTGAAAAAGTTTATCATATTAATTAACACAAATCCGCTGCTTTAAACATCATTACATGGGCGGCAAAATGATAATTTTTACTGGTAAATTTACTTCCTTATTCTACTTGGTTTCATATTACCCCATCATAACAAAAGATCTTATTATAATAAGGAAATTTCAGAGTAACTAACTAGTGGGTGGTTGAATGTCTATAAGATCTTAACATTACAAAGACAACATGCTGATTCAGAAATAAAATCTAAGATTAATACTCACTGATAAAAGGTTTTCTGTTAAAATCAATTCTTCTAGACTTTCGCAGCTGAAATCAAAGTAAAACAGGGTTTATGACATTTAACCTAACCACAGTATGGTACTCATTATGTGTATGATATACAGTAAAACCCCAGCTGATCAACATCCTTTGAGAGATGCAGATTCTTAATGATGTGACGCTTTAAAACATCAAAGAACCATTCTGTAGAGGTTACACTGTAGTATAATTTATATGGCCAAAGTATAAATTTCTTTATACATTTGAAATGTTAATGATGATTTTTTTCCTGTTTTTTGGCTAGATTTTTTTATAACATCAAAAAAATTCAATATTGTTTTTTAACCCCGTATATGTACATTATTTTAGGCTTAAACATGAAGCTGAATAGAACCACTTACCTTCTGTAAGCTAGCTAGAAAGCTTCCTTACATGCCAACAAATTGGCAGAAAACTGTGTCATTTAACATGTTAATACAAATAGCATGCACAATGCTATATGCTTGTCCTTGTTTTCCTTCTTTTTTAATCTATTTATTAAACTTGCAATGTAATATGGTAATTCTGATTTTAATTTCCTTTGTTAAACTATTGTTAATTGCATGGATTAAAATTAATACATCAAGTCTACCAACTGGGCAAATATTTCAGACATAATTAGAAATGCTTAGAAACATTCAGACAATGTAGTAACTCTAACCATGCTTATTTGTTTAACAGAATTGATCTACTCTGATCTCTGATTCACCATTTTAAAAAATACTCAAACTTACCCGTAACATGCCATAAGTTGTGTATTGAATTTGCCCTGCTTTGAATTTTAAACAGTTCAATTGAAGTTTATAACAGTTTTCTATATGAAAAAAGAAAGAAAATAAACTCACTATCCAACTTGTGATGTGAGTTCAATAAGTCTGTTCGAATCTACTTTCATTATACTTAGTTTCTTTAGTTGCCCTGAAAAAAAAAACATTACAAAAATTAATAAACATACATCTAAAATGCCCTGAAAAAAATAATAGTAAAAATTTATCAACAAACATTTAATATTTCAAAAGTTAGATTACAAATTCAACCTGCAGTTTTAACAGAAATGTAAGTCAAAGTCAGTTATTATATAGTCAATGAGGCTTCTAAAGCCTCCTGAATTTAGTTCATGGATCTGCATTGGGCCAGTCCATTTAAATTGTAAGGGATTTAAGTAATAATATAAACAAATTGAGCTGCCAACAGTATAGAACCAGGTTCCAAGGTTATAAAGAATTTTCCTAAGCTTAAATTCAGATCTCAGACATTTGATTGGTCGAAAAACCAGCATAGAATTTACATTGACCAATGGACACCCTGAGATTCTAGACTGATCTCAGAAAACAGTTTTATAACCACTGGGCCTGTTCAGAGTTCAAGGATATGCAGGCTCAATATAATACTTATGGCAAAGGCTATTATCACTTTCAATTCCAGTGTAATCAAAAGTTGACAAAATGAATGATAGGAAACAGAGGTGTTGTGTACCGATTCCTTCTGGTAGGCGCTCCAGGTTGTTCTGTGATAGACAGAGATCAGTGAGGTTTGAAAGACCCGAGATCTCTTCTGGAATGAATTCTAACACGTTTTCTGATACATCAATCTGGGTTAACTTCTTTAAGTTGCCTATCGCCTGAAATAAGAAGAAATCAAAAGAAATAAAATCCCATTTACAATATATACATATCATTGAAGATTACAACTCATGAATGTATATCATAAGAATCGGCAGTTGTCAATCTAAGAGCATCAAAAGTAATATGAAGTTATATCAAATTAAGAATTATTCTACATGTAGTGATATCATCATCTGAACCATCTATCTACATTGTTGTAATTAGACATATTTTGCTTTGAATTCGAACCTGTCTACTATCAATTCAATAGGTTTAAAACTAAAGATATGGGAAAACAATATTTGAGTCAGAATGTTAATTTAAATCGTAAGATGTCAACTGATGATGGCACAGGCAAGTACGTACGTATTAACCCTTGTGCTTTCAAAGGTTTAATTCAATTTTCTAAAAAAAAATTGTCTTTGTTTTGGAAAAACAAACAAACAAACAACAACAAAAACCAACGCTCTTTATGTGTAACATCCAAAAGGTTAATTTAATTATCTGATTAACTTTTTTTGTTTTCAGATAGAAAAAAAAACAAATAGCAAAACAAAATAACATTATTCTTAATATCTATTTTTCAAAGAGTTGTTTCTCTTGCCTCTAGGCAATTACCAACATCTTCATCGCTGTTTTGTAATCAAATATTCATCTAAAACCAGACAAGATTGTTCATGTTTGTGATCATAAGGTTATTAATTTCATCCTTTTGTTGTTTTTTTCACACTTCTAGCATGACCAAAACTATTTACTTATTATTATGCATGTACTGATTTGTTTATTTGTATTATATTTTACATTATTTGTACAGATGGAAGATTACAAAATAATGGTATATAAATCATACCAAACAGACACTTTTCATATCGGATTATATCCTTTTATTCATTTTCATGTTTATTTTTGTTCTGTATACTATTTGGGTGATTTTTAAGATAAAATATACTATATAACTTATAAACATTCTGTACATAAAAATGTTGTCCAAACATCAGTTTCAAACATGTTAAGATATTATAGATAAACATTATAAACTTTCATTATGAGTTTGCAGCCAAGGGCCGAAAACTGATAATCGGCCCACTGAACACGAGTATGTGCAAAAACTATAACAATGACCCTACTCTGCCCTGTATTAATCTCTTATTGTCATTTTGATAGAAATACAAATTGATTCAAGGTGTAAAGTGGCTCAGTGGTTAAAGAGTCTGTTACTCAAACACTTTCAACTCAGGTAATGAGAGTTCAAATCTACTGGTTTCAAGACTTTATTTCCACATATATATCATCAGTGCTGGTTAGTTACAGGATGGAGATTCAACAGTGGTTTGAACTCCAATATATATTTATTATTTAAACTGCACATTGACTTACTGGAGGTAGTTCAGCAAGGTCGTTACAGTCCAACCAGAGCTCCTGCAGGCCCGGTAGAGAACCAATTGTGTCCGGCTGAAATATATAACAAGCTATTCATAAATCTTTATTCTAACATTGCAGTACTAACCATATATTCCTACTTTGTATTTTTTTATGATTTAAAAAAATAAATAAAAAAAAAATAAGAATTTTCATTTTTTTTTTAGAAACATCATTATAAAAGAAAATGTTCTGGTTTAAATCTAGGTCACTCACATTTTTTAAATAAAGTTTCACAGTATGAAAAAAATTATTGACATTATCAAACATGATTTTAAAAAAAATTTCTTCTATAAAATGTGACAGATTACAATATTTCTGGTTCTTATACACTTAATTTACACAATCTTTATTTTATGCTTTTGCTGTACTTTATTATCGAATGAGAAGGTTCAATTTTGAAATACTGCCATTCTTTTTCCCGCATAAAACTGTCCTCAATAGAGATTATTTAACAACTCCTTTAAAAGTCAGTAACTCCTATGTTGAGCTATTTCTGCATCTCACTATAATATATTATGTAATCTTGAGTATGTACACTATACTTTAAACTTTTTTTTTTCATTTTAATTTAAGTTTCAATACCAATTTTCTTATTTTCTTGAACTAAACTTTCAAAAGTTTGGTCAAAGACACTTTTCAAAAGGAATACAAGCTATATAAGAGAGCCTTAAAAAACTCTTGTACATGCCTGTAATCAAGGGCATAGGTATGACAAAGAAAACAATAATAAATATATAAACATAATAGATGTGCATTTTAACGTAACAAGAGATCAAGTTAAAAATAAAATCATACACTAACAAATAGCTATCAACCTTTCTCAACAGCTTAAATGAGCCCTATGCCTGAACTCAAGACAACTCTCTGATAGTCATTATTGTGCCCCCACGTTAGTGGCGGGCATTTAGATTTACCCTTGTCCGTCCGTCCTTCCGTCCGTCCGTCTGTCCGTCCGTCCTTCCGTCCGTCCGTTCACTTTTGTGTCGCACGTAACTCAAAAAGTATTTGACCTAGAGTCATGAAACTTTACAGGAATGTTGATCAGCATGTGTAGTTGTGCACCTGGGTATTTTCGTTTGGATATTTTTAGTATTTTCAGAGTTATTGCCCTTGACTTAGTTAAATTTTGCAATTTTCAACTTGTGTCGCATGTAACTCAAAAAGTATTTGACCTAGAGTCATGAAACTTAACAGGAATGTTGATCAGCATGTGTAGTTGTGCACCTGGGTATTTTCGTGTGGATATTTTTAGTATTTTTGGAGTTATTGCCCTTGACTTAGTAAAATTTTGCAATTTTCAACTTGTGATGGATGTAACTCAAAAAGTATTTGACCTAGAGTCATGAAACTTTACAGGAATGTTGATCAGCATGTGTTGTTGTGCACCTGGGTATTTTCATTTGGATATTTTTAGTATTTTCAGAGTTATTGCCCTTCATTTAGTAAAATTTTGCAATTTTCAACTTGTGTCGCATGTAACTCAAAAAGTATTTGACCTAGAGTCATGAAACTTTACAGGAATGTTGATAAGCATGTGTAGTTGTGCACCTGGGTATTTTCGTGTGGATATATTTAGTATTTTTGGAGTTATTGCCCTTGACTTAGTAAAATTTTGCAATTTTCAACTTGTGTTGCACGTAACTCAAAAAGTATTTGACCTAGAGTCATGAAACTTTACAGGAATGTTGATCAGCATATGTAGTTGTGCACCTGGGTATTTTTGTGTGGATATTTTTAGTATTTTTGGAGTTATTGCCCTTGACTTAGTAAAATCTTGCAATTTTCAACATGTGTCGCACGTAACTCAAAAAGTATTTGACCTAGAGTCATGTAACTTTACAGGATTATTGATCAGCATGTGCAGTTGTGCACCAGGTATTTTTGTCTGGATTTATTTAGTATTTTTAGAGTTATTGCCCTTCACTTAGAAAATTTTTGCAATTTTCAACTTGTGTCGCAAGTTACTCAAAAAGGATTGGACATAGTCATTAAACCTTATGGGCAGGTTGCTCAGCATATTTAGAGTTGCACCTGGGGTTTCGCTTGTGGATTTATCCAGTATTTGTAGAGTTATTTCCCTTGACTTAGTAAAAAGATTGACAGAACAGTGGCGCGGTGGGGGCACCCGTGTCCTATGGACACATTTCTAGTTTTTCTATTTGAAGTGCCCGTGTCACTTTGATTAGCATATAGCAATGATCAATGTCACAAAATGTCGATAATATTATATGCTTCGTTTTTAATTAACAAAAATCCTTGGGTCAAATCAGGTCATTGTCCCGTATTATACCCACATTTCATAGGCCTTGAATAAATGAATGTTTTATTAATCTAACTGTAGTATCCGAAGGCAAAATGTTATTTATGCATGTAAAAAATCTAAACTTTTTTTATATATCAACATTCAAGTAGTTATCTCTCAGCCTTTCTTTTCAACCTTTGTTCTATTGCGTCTGCCCTGCTTCAAATATAGAACAGTCCATTCAGTGTTTAATGGGATTTTAATATTAAAATATATACAAAAACTTGAGTTAGTATCAATAGTATAGAGGCTGGTAAGACTGCATGGGAAGGTTATAAAGAAATATTCTAATCTCAAACTCAGATCTCAGGTATTTGATTGGTCAGAAACAGGCATAAAATGTGAATTGACCAATGAGTGAATTGACCAATGAAAATTCCAATATTTGAGCTTGATCTCAGGAAATGGTTTAATAACCTTGGGGCCAGGCTGGTTTAGCTCTTTATTGATGACTGAGGCCAATCACTTTAGGTTCCACTGCGAGTGACCTAGATTTAAAACAAGAACATATTTTTTTATATTCCTAAAACATAAACTTTTCAGAATTTGTTCACATCCCCAACAAATTTTCAAGTTCATATAGTATACTGTAAAAAAAATATTTGTAATTTAGTCCAAGGGCTTTTTCTCACGAAAGAAATTATCCTTTCATTTTTGGAATTTTAAACACAGTATTTTGTGAAATTGAAAAAAAGTGGAATGACTTGTAAAATGCAAACAAAAAGTCTTTAATTCAGTACTGCATAATTTTATTTTTTACAAAGGCTGCTTGTCCTTAAAGACCTTATGGGGGGTCAAATAAATTTTCGCACTGAACTGACATTGAAGAATGTATCCAAGACATTTCTGAATTTTTGGAACTTTGAATAAAGGTTAGTGTTTCTGAGTGTATAAAGTTATATATATTTACTGCAAAATTTGTGTTTGAATTTTAAAAAAAAATACTTGTATGGAAGAATAATGTTAGTAAATTACCTTCAAAGTGAATGGTGCATACACAAATCATTGCTTAACACATAAAACCCTACTTAAAATAGCAAACTAATATTTTGTTCCGGAACATTTTATTATGTTTACGTACAGTACTCATGCGTGTTAAAAAACAGATAGTGACTGATAATAACAGATACACTCCATGTTACAACTCTTTCAAAGTTCAACTATAAGATTATGGAAACAAACTCATTTTTAAATTTACAAGTGATAAATTTTATAAAACCATTTCATAAGAAATAGCTTTATACCCTATAATTACTAAGCGGCAACCCATCCATAGTTTGCCTCACTTATATAAAGGGAAAAAAAGCCCAGCGACCACAAATATTAATATATTCTTGGAGAAGACAACCAGAAGATTACATGGATCAATAAATTACTGCTAAATACAGCCCTGTATTCTACAAGAATATAAAAATCTTCCTTATAGAAATTGGTACTTGTGAAATGTTCCTGTAGGATTCACTAATGGCGATTGTTTTCTCCAAGCTCATAATACAAACAAGGGAATTTTTCTTCCCTGGGAAGTCATTATCACTTTGATCAGTATTTATGTTCATTAAACACCTTACTTATCACATAAAGAGACTCATTCCCACTAAAGGTGGAATTTATTTCAACATATTCAGTTTTTGTCTTTTTGGCCATAAAACAGATTATACTAATTTAAGAGTTCTCAAATGGATAAATTCATTGGATATATGCGAATAGCATAAGGAAAGTTTTTCTATCGCATATCAAAACAGTTCTGAAGTATTTATAGAGGTTTGTTCCCTTGTATCATGTCAACCTGCACAAAAAGGCATACTATCCTGGCTAGTATACTAATGACAAAGATCTAACAGTATTACATTAACCTGCCAGATATGTAACTGTTTTGCCTTTTCCACCTGCATTAAAAAAGCAAGCATGATTGCCATTAACATCTTTTGCAGGTTTGTTTTGAATTTGAGGCGGTCATTTTATTTTCATCATATATATAACAATGAGTGTTTTTGTTAATTTTAAGGCGGCCCAAAATGCATTTGAGACAATCATTTTGGCCCCCTGTAGCCTCTTAATGACAATCTGAGTGAGCAAGACCAAACCTGTGCAGTCTGACAAGGTCCTTTATTATTTGTAGATCAATTTTTGTTATTAGTTATACTGAAAAACCCTTCAACTTCAGTGATGGACTGTTCCGAAGTACAAACACTGCAAACCTATTCCAGAAATTCAGGAAGTTATGGAGGTTAAGAAAAAAAAGGTTGACTTACCAACTCATCCAGCTCATTGCTTCCTAGGTCTAGACTCTCTAACTTAACAAGGAATGACATAGAAGCTGGCAGCTGTCGGATCATGTTCTCTCTTAACTCTAGAGACACCAGGCTGCTTAGGCTGAAATATAAATCACACTCTCACACATCTAATACCATACACAGGTTTCATACGTTTGACAGAAGGAAGACTTATATTTTGGTATGTAATTGTAAGGGAAGACAGAAAAAACGGTTTTTGTCCACTCTATGAAGTTCATGTGTGGGGTTTTGTCCACTCTATAAAATTTTGAGGTGTGGGGTTTTGACATGTAGGGTTTTGTCCTACATTCAATTGTAAGTATTAGCCAGAAACTGAAAGAACTGAAAAGTATATTTATGAAAATGTAAGAAGGTAGCCTAACATACTGCAGGGGATTTACATGACTTTCGTATGTGTCATAATGAAAAACCCAGTTACTCATCATGTATCTTTTTACATCAACATAATTTAGCATTTAAAGAAAGAATTATGGCGACTTAATAGTGAAACTTCTTAAAACAATATTTCTGGTATACAATATAGGCTTGTTTCATTTGTCTTAGAATTTATCAACAGATAAAATCAAGGTCATATATGTAGGCATTCCATTGTTTATATTAATTTGATACAGGAACATGCCAGATGAAGTGCCACTACATGAACATACTAGCAAAGCATGATTTCATCTGTAGGTACTTTAGAAGAACCACTGAACAGAAAATCATGGAAAGGGCCTACTTTTACTTTATTCATTGAATTCCACTGAAACAGTCTTAAGGGACTCCACTGAGGTTTTTTGACATGATGGGACTGAAAATATTTTTTCCAGATAATTGTACCATTTGATGTAGGTTTAGACCACTAATCTTTGTGCAAAATTTCAGATCATTCGCGCACACTGTTTTTCCAGAATAATTATTCAAATTGTAAAAAACTGACCCAAACTGAAAAGCGTTTAAACGCTTTTCACTCAAATTAGGCTAAGAAAAGCATAAAAATACGATTTTCAATTTATTACAAAGTATATTTCTTTGCATATATTACTGTTTAAAGTGCCCCAGCTCATTTATGCAAAAAATACAAATGTTATGTTTTTAGACTTTTAAACCTCAGTGGAGTCCCTTTAATTTCCAAAGTGGAACAATACCATTTGCAATAAAACTGCAGGTATTTCAATATCAAATGTAATCCAAACTTAATGCATATCATACAAAGGCATACAATTTACTTATCAAGTAATAATTGCTTAAATATTTTCACCTGTAACTGAACCAGTAAATTGTTTTCCAAGCCAATAATTATTATTCATGGGTGTATATATACTGTAACAACAACCACAGCATTATAGAAACCAGGTGAGTATGGTATTAGTAATTATATATGCAATGATATTTCCAGTATCTAATATAAACATATTCCAAACAAAATGAACAAGCAAACTGTTTTATACATGTATAATATACATTGTAATAGCTCAGCATTCAAAATCAAATCAATAGCTTAAAATATAATGATTTATTCAGGACAGATGATTCTGCTCAAACAGATTATTTATCTCAGAAATTGGGAACAAGCAAAAAGTGATTTTCCTCCTCGAAATTTTCTTTGAAATCACAGTTTTCCCATAAAAATCTGAACTTTCTAGCCCACTTGTTCAAACAAATAAGATGTTTTAAATGTTCATTGAACAGATTGAATAAAACCAACAACAAAGCTGATAAATCTGCAAATTGTCTGGAACATACAGACTTGAGTTTTCAAACTTTTACCTTTCATATTATCAATCAAGTCAAATAGGGTTACTTTGAATTAAAATAAACTTTTGTTACCTGCCAATGTCCTTGGGTAGCCATGACAGAGATACGTCGTTGAGACCAAGATGTGTCAAGTTCCGTAACTGTGTTATTCCAGAAGGTAACCTATAAATAGAATAATTACAGAATGATAATGTTTGCCATTTCATGTACACTAAAACAATATAAAGTGTCACGGACCCAAAGATCAGTGAATTTTTTATTCCAATATTTTTAGTAATTATGTCAAAAACCAATTTTTTAAGACAAACAATATGTACTTTTATTCAAGACAATGCCAGACAACTGCTTCTGGATTGGATGTCTTAAGTCCAGGCTGTCAACCAGGTCTTATCCAAAATAAAGGAGGAATATAGGAATATTTTAGCAGGAAATATAGGAGTTTTTGGACCATTTTGAGGCAAAAAATAGGAGTTTTCAATTTAAATTGTTTAACTTACCAATGCTTATATAAATGTAGATTATTCTTACTTTTACACATGCTGTTTCTACAATTAAACGTCTACCGTATAAGTGAAGGACACCATTAGCAGGCTGTCCAGCATCTTCCGACATAAAATTAGGGCGAATTTTAGGGTAATATTTCTGAAATCAAACCATTCCAAAGATTCTTACCACTAGGGGGATTCAAACCTCTGTATAACTTTGAGTTTAATACTCCCAACAACATCATATTAATATGAGTGGTACAATAATTTGAATCATATTCAGGAGAGCCATTTTCATTACAAAACAATCGTCTCATTTCCTTCTAATTTAAGATTTTTTTAGGAAAAATTGAAGTCATTTAAATCAAGATGATTTAAATGAGAAATGAAAAGTTTAAATGAGAAATGAAAAGTGACAAAAAAGGGATTTCTTTCAAGTTATTCTGCAGAGCTCTGCACTGAATACCACTGAACTTTGATGGGACTACAAAATTTGCTGCCTAAAGATCAAATTTCTTCTTTTTTTTCTCTAATATTTGCAAAAACTAAGGGTCTGCAGGTTACATACCCTATATCATACGACGATAAAGTAGAATAGTAATCAAGAAATTCAAACAATCTCCTAAGAAGTGTATAAACTTATAAAGCTATATATCTGCTGCAAAAAAATAATATTTTTCTGATTTTGTAAAAAAAAGAATACTTTTAAAATGATTGTATGAAAGAAATATAATTGTAGAATAATTGCTTATGAAGCAAATGGTGCATGTTATAAATTATTGCATGGTGCTAAATGGTTAAAAGCCTACTTTGAATAGCGACATTATATTTTCTTTGGAACATCTTTTATTCTGTTTACGAACAATATTCATGCGTGTCAAATAACAGACTATATATTTCTGGTTATAACTATTTCAGGAATCAACCATTAGATTCAATATAATTTTACTGTTAAGAAAATTTATAAAAATATTTCATAAGATATGCCCTTTAAAGCAAAAAAACATTTCTAGGCTGGGTTTGTGTTGTTGGGGTTTTTTTTTGCCACAATCCTGTAGTAAGTAGAATTTCCAATTATTTTCTACAGTGACATGTCTCTTTTGAAAGGACAAACCCATAAAATGCACATGTTACTTTGTTTGAAAACAGAATGCTTTGCTTTGATGATGATTATAAAAAAGATCACAACATGGCTAAATCATTCTTATCTGCTGTTTCTTTTGTAAACCAGTTACGTTTTTTTTTTCCAAACTATACAAATTATTGATCTCTGCTGAACATTCAAACATTTGTGTATCATTAAAACTAAAATACAACTGCATGCAAATTCAGATAGGAATTAACATATCAGAAACTAAATACATAGAATTTACATACAAATGTATATGTAAAACCTAAACGTTTGAAAAACTGTACTTGAAATAAGGTATTATCTGGTATTTGATGAAACTGGCCTTATATAACATTTTCAATATCTAACAATAAATTTAAAATATATGCTTTATTTTACAATATTTCTGTGAACCTTCCCACTTTGTAATATTAGGAATTTTTGTTCAGGTATAGCAATAAACAGTTATGTTACATTAGCGTAGGAGAATGTCATAAATGACAGTGAATAACCTTCCAACATTGATTAAACTTTATCATTATAAAATATTCTGTTATCAATTTGAAAAAGGCTCTGTTAAGTTCCAAAGAAAATATAACTAACTGCACTCTATGCTAGCTAGACCCCTGCAAGTTTCTACAAACATCAGCAGTGTCAGAAGAAAAAAAACATAAAAGTGCAAGCTCTGTACTGCTGTCTATTATAATGCTGATTGACCAATAGCTGATCATGTAAAACGCTTAAAATAAAATATTTCATCGAAACACCTTAAATGATAAAAAGACTGCCCTAGGCCTACTGTTTTTTTTTAACAATATAATCCATTTTTGGAAATATCTATTGGTCCAATGGATTTATATAATACTGACCAATTTTTATAGTAAAATATAAAATTGAACACAATTATGGCAAAATGTCGAGTCATTTTGATTTTTACCTGTTCGCTGACCATTTACACTTGGTTAGGCATAATGTCACTTTAATTAAACTAAGTGGAAAATATTCCTCTCAAATTTACAGACGGTATAGATGTAGAATAAATGGATTACTTACGGTGTGACTAGGGGATTACTACTGATATCCAAGACTTGTAGATTCTTGCAAAATTTGATATTTTCTGGTATTTCACCAATATCTGAAAGAAAGAAAAGTCATCTCATTATTTCAGTATCAGTACAATCATAAGACATATATAACTTTTTTAAATGCAGCAGCAACTGGACCCTATTATGCACATGTCAGTTAACTTCACAGTGCTTGATAATGAAATAAAGACAAGTTTTGATGCAAATCATCAAAGATGTTGCATAAATTTTTGATAAAAGATTCTACAGAATTAGGAAAGTCATGTCATCATATCTAAAGCGTGTGCAACTGTTTAAAACGGTGGAACTGTATACTAAGTAATGTAATGGTTCCAATCCAAAAAGATCATATCCACATGTCTCTTAGCACCATTGCTAAAATCAACATTTTTTAAGTAAAACACAAATGGACAAGATTTAGTCAAGATCCGTGCCAGAGTTTAAGTGAAGAAATTGATTCAATAAAACACTTGTTTAACTGAAAAGTAGACCCTTTAATACTGTCACCAAAGTGTTTTACTCTTGGCATTGTACATTCAGAGAAGAAGATTTTTTAAGGCATTTTTACTATTATACAAGTTTGACCCTATGATTTATATACATTTGTAAAGGACCACAAGTGATGATACATGCCAAATATATAACCTCTTGGCAAAGTAGTTTCTGAGAAGAAGATTTTAAAGATTTCATTTAAAGTTCTTTCGTTTTTTTGCTCCTTAGAAATACTTAAATGCATTAAGACTTATGCATCAGACTGGAACCATTTGTACAACCTTTGTAAAGGACAACCTAAGGTTCATTCCTGTGAAGTGGTTAATAAGGAGAAATTATGGAAAACAAAGGACGGTGACTGATGAACATCAGCCAAACTGCCATCTCGGAAACTTACCAGTGATTACACATTTCACACATCCGCTCATAATAACAAGTAGAATTTAAGAGAACTTGATGCAGGACCAGTAGGAACATATTGCCGGCACATTGGATTTAGAAGCTTCTCGTCCTGCAGGACAAGTGACTGAAAATATTTTTCGATGCCTGCTAATGCTTTCCTCTGGGCAGAAACCAGGCTTAAAACAACTGATGGGAGGAGCTATAAATCTGCAGCGATAACTCTAAATTCATTCAATTAAAATTACTGAAAATGAGCTGCTGAAATATCATAAAACCCAATTTTCTTAAAGTTGTCACCACAAAATACTGCAGGAAAAAAAAGAGACATTAGGAATAAAATTAAATCTAGACTGTCAGCACGAGCAAAATCAATATCATTTACTGTAACGAGATTTTTCTCCTAGTGATGCCATCCCTATCTCCTTAGACTTTGCCTCCTTGAAACTTCCATGCCATTAAGCAAATATGTCAGAAAAAGCAAATTAAATAACCAAAACAAGTTAAGATTTGTCTTCAATTTGACGTGATGTGAAAACGTATAACAAAGTCTTGGCAAATATGATAAATAGGAAACACTTGCTGACATTATAATATAATACAGAGTACTTGACTCTTTGTCCAAATTAATTTTACTAATTAAATTAATTTTCAAGATGGTCAAGGTTCTTAAAGCATCATTTATCAGGAAAATTCACAAGGCTTAAATGTAAATACATTTCAAGAAATAATCCCTATAGACAACATTTGGTATATAAATATCATATAAAAATAATAAAATTGGCGATTTATAATTTTAACTATTACATCATATAAAATTCTTTCACTTAATATTATACTTGCTATTCAACACCAGACAAGCAATTTGATCAAAATAGACCTGAACATTTCTTGACATAAAATTCAAAATGTCTTTTAAAAAAGGAGTCATTAAACATGCAAACATTTCAGTATAAAAAAAATAATTGTCAGAGCAGAAAATGGGATTGACATAATAAATCCTCCTTCAGTATATCTGCCAAAAGATGATTTCAAATAAAATGTTTCGCACCTATTTATACTAGATCAATATACAAGTATACATGTATAATTATATAGCACATTCTACATTCTTTAATCCCATAAATTCATGTAATGATTTTCCCCAACTGTGAATTGTTGAGTTCATTATAAAAATTTATGACGCAATTGGTCAACTATAAAATTTAGCTAGTTTATGTGTGTGTTTTTTGTTTTCTTTTGCTTTCTTTGCCATTGGTTCCATTTTATTCCCGATATGATGGATACACCCACCAGGACTTTGATAGAACCACCAACTTTTTGTAAAGTATACTTAACTAACCAGAATGGTACCTAGGGCTCAGGGTCTGGTCAGACACACAAACTGTATGAGTAACCTGACTCTTGACTTAACTCATAACACTTAATGGACTTGTCATACCCTCATGTATTTAAGTGTAAAAATTATAGATAGTCTATTTGTTTTAGATTACACAGATGTGTGGGCTGGCATGGCACTATACTGGCTGCAAAGGCTTATCAACTTTAGTTCAATCAGGTTAAGGCATAAGATTATCTCATCAATAAAATGAACAAGTGATTGTTGATGCTTGTCAAACAAAATGTGAAATGCTTTCCTGATAATATCAAATAACAACTTAATTTATTTCTAATAATATTTTCCAATAAAATAATTGCTGCAGAAGCAAAATAAAGCAACAACTCAAAAACAGTCTGATAAGGTTAATAAGCAATCAATACATGGATGTTAAGACTTCAGTCACTCTGATGCTTCTTAATTTCTTGAAATTTACTCTCTGACAGCTAATTCTTGCTCTGACTCAGAGTCAGTGCTTACTCAAAAGTAGCCATTCAAAAGCTTGTTCTTGCTCTGCCTCAGAGAGTCAGTGAAAAGGTAGTTCTTGCCCTGCCTCAGAGAGTCAGTGAAAAGGTATATTTTGCCCTGCCTCAGAGAGTCAGTGAAAAGGCAGTCCTTGCCATGCCTCAGGAAGTGACAGTTCTTGCCCTCCTCAGGAGTGAAAATGTAGTTCTTGCCCTGCCTCAGAAAGTCAGTGAAAAGGTAGTTCTTGCCATGCTTCAGAGATTATATAAATTCAAACGCTATTTCTTACTCTGCCTCAGTAAGTCAGTGAAAAGGAGGTTGTCGCCCTGCCTCAGAGTAAATGAAAAGGCAGATTTTGTCCTTCCTCAGAGAGTCAGTGAAAAGGTAGTTCTTGTCAGGCCTCAGAAAGTGAAAAGGTAGTTCTTGCCCTGCCTCAGAAAGTGAAAAGGTAGTTATTGCCCTGCCTTAGAGTCAGTGAAAAGGTAGTTCTTGCCCTGCCTCAGAGTCAGTAAAAGGTAGTTCTTTCCCTGCCTCAGAAAGTAAGTGAAAAAATAGTTCTTGCCCTGCCTCAGAGAGTCAATGAAAAGGTAGTTCTTGCCCTGCCTCAAAAAGTCAGTGAAAAAATAGTTCTTGCCCTGCCTCAGAGAGCCAATGAAAAGGTAATTCTTGCCCTGCCTCAGAGTCAGTGAAAATGTAGATCTTGCCATGCCTCAGAGTCAGTGAAAAAATAGTTCTTGACCTGCCTCAGAGAGTCAGTGAAAAGGTAGTTCTTGCCCTGCCTCAGAAAGTCATTTCATCATTCATGACATTTATAGCCATTTCAGTCATACATGTATTTATCCATGGCTGTGTCCTGAACAACCAACTTGAGCAATTTATAACATGATGGATGTCCCTGTTATCCAGTGCTCCAACAACCTAATACGATGAATAATACTTAATGTGGCTTCTATTTCAATGGGGTCATGAACTTACTTACTTGATCTCATTGCAGCTTATAGGGGAAGTGGTTGAACAGGAGGAAACTGTTTATGAATTTTACTGATAGGCATATTTTCCTAATCACAAAATTAATGCTGATAGTTTACTTAAAGAAAATTTTACATTAAAACATTTCAATTGACACAAAAACATAAAATGCAATAATTAAATTTCTTGTATATCAAAGTTTATCAGACAGGATTTTTAACTTTATTCGAAAAAAAAACACGAAAAAGACTTCTTTCTGAACAATGGAGCAAATGGTCCTTCTTTTAAGAGAAATACTCCATTATATAGTGTTAATCCCGTAGAAGCCTACACACTGGTTTTGAGCTTTGTACACGATGAAGTCTATTTCGATTCTATATATAGGTCACCCGACAAAAACATAGTGGGGTCCCGCAGGCACCTCTTTTAGAGGTCTTTTTTTTTCCATTTTGTTATCATGTGGTATTAAATTATCTATTTTGATTGGCCTCCCTTTTAGAGGTCTTTTTTTCCATTTTGTTATCATGTGGTATTAAATTATCTTTTTTGATTGGCCTAAGGACAGGCGGTGTATGGGTAGAAATCATTGAATCTTGTTAATTGCATATGTATGTCACTGTCCAGGACACAGTTCGGCATTTAGTCTGTTTCAACTTGTAGATGAATGCTTGCTGTTATACAATACCGCAAAGTTGCAAACATTTGAAGTGCACAGACGAAATGTCTTATTGTTGTGGTCACCTTGCATGAAAATATTGGGCTGCTTGAAATGTTTTCTGTTCCAAAAGCACTGAAGATTAACAACTTTCTTTACATAAAAAAACAAAAGTATTGTCCCAGACCCTTAACCAAAATATGTGTAAAATGTATAAAATTCTGATAGAAATAATGATGCCAATGGCACTGACCCTAAAAAGTTATCAGGAGCAAAGTTTAACCTGTCTGTGTGAATTGTGTGAAGAATGGTATAAACAATTTCTGAAAAAGTGTTAACTGTTGCTTTTAATGGCATGAACCTTTAGAATAGTTTGAATTTCAAATGAGCCATATAACTTAATACCATTCAACCCCCCCCCCCCCATTCACACACACACCAGACCCTTGATAACTCTTTTTATGAAATTTGATTAAGACATTTCATCCCTTTTTTGCTTTTATATTTTACACAAGTGAAGGTGAACATTATGTGAAATGTAATGACTAATCAATGGTAATAAATTTTTTTAACTATTTTATTGTTCTAACATATAATAATTTAATTAAATGTAGACCTGTTAAAGATAGTGATACTGTTTTAAGATTTTCTTTTTCTAACAAAAGACTCATTTCACAATAATATTTTTGAAATATCAAAGAAATACAATCAATAAATGAGCGGCGACATGACAAAATCAACATAATGGGTTTGCGACCAGCATGGATCCAGACCAGCCTGCGCATCCGCACAGTCTCAGTGTTTTTTTTTCTTTATATAACTACTACCCTAAAACGGTACCATTCCCAATAGAAAATAGACATTAAAATTCCCAATTTCCAATGTTAAATTCCCAAAATGGCTGTTCAAAATGCCCACAAGGCCAAGTGATTTTTCTAAAATCATTTAAATCCAACATATTCATATAAATCACCACTCAATAGTTCTATCTGGACAGTAAAAGCTGTTAGCTATCTTTATTCATGATCTCTAATCTCATTTGTAGCTGAAAAAAATGCATTAAAAAAATTCCCAATTTTAGTCAAAATAACACATTTTTTCCCAATCAGTCTGGTACCGGCACCATTCCCAAAGTAGAGAAAAAAAACGCTGAGTCTGATCAGGATCCATGCTTTTCGCTATCAGTTTCTCTACTTGTAATAGGGTTTGTAAACAAATATCATTTGTCATTATAATATTAAACTGCAATTAACTTTGATTGCTTAAAATAACTTGCTTTATATCAATGAATCCTTTAAAGTGTCAGAACCTGTACATGTATATCAATTTATCTCAGAAACATAATAATATTTTAATCCCTTCCACACATCCTTTGTTCTTTAATTGACAGTAAGTTATTAATTCCAAATGAAAGTAAAACATTATAAATATATTAAAAACTTAACAATTATAAATCTGTTAATAAGTTATAAATTTTTATTTATATAATTATCATCTTTAAATTGTCTTTCTCATCTTTTTGTCTACATGATGTTGTAATATATTAAAGGGACTCCACTGAGGTTTTAAAATGAAAAGACTGGAAATGTTTTTTTTTCAAGATTTGTGTACATTTGATGGAGGTACAATTGTGTGCAAAATTTCTGATTATTCTCTCAATCTGTTTTCTAAAAATAATAATTATTGTTAGAAATGATAAAAAATGCTTTCTTTCTTATCTATATTCCATTAATGTAAAAAAGTTCGCAAGGACGGAGACATGTCTGCGCGTCAAAATAGCAAGAAAGTTAAAAAGAGTTGTTCAAGAGAGACTAAAAGAAGAATATTAAAAATGTTAAAAACAGGGAGGCCAGAAGAGGGCTGTCAATATTTTTCTATGGGGATAGCAACCAGACCATGGTGAATTTTGTAGAAAAGGGATAGCCTAGCATGTATATGTCAGAGTTCCAGTTTACAGAGCTTAAGAGGTAAAGCATGTCTGTGACACTTAATCTAGCTTGGTTCATTGATTTTTAATTGAACTATCAGTATATTTCTACCTAATCTTTTGCAGTTTTTTCTATTTTAAATAGAAATGCAAGAATTTTAAATTTTATGTTTTCATGCATTTTTACCTCAGCACTGTTCCTTTAACAGAACTGTTTCCATTTTGTATGCTTGCTGTAAATTATGTTATGTTCTGTTATATTATGACAGTATGTAAATGATTTGACTTATTAAAACACAAACAATATCATAAAGAAAATAAATAAATATAAAACTATTAAAAGCTTTATTTGTCATTGAAATATTTTTTTAAGAAATTATAGGACATGTGAGGTGAATTGTCTTACTGGTTTTAGGGGATGAAGTGTCTTGAGGGGTGAAGTGTCTTAAAAATTTGAGGGGTGATGTTTTATTCCCCTTTACAGGTAATACTGGAGTCAAATTGACCCTAAGCTGGAAAGAACACTGAATTAGATTTAGAAACATATATTCCAACAATAAGCAAATATTTACTTCATCCTGGCTTCATGCGACATTTCAGCCAGGACATAAGATTGCTAATCGTGTAAATGATTCAACAGGTGAGTAAACCAAAAATAAATGGGTGTGTAACTGCCAAAAATTTGATGATTTGTAGAATTTTTGATTAAAATTATCCAACAAAAAGCATTGAAGAATTGGATAGGATACAATCATGATGTTCAACTTGTGTTGTTACATGTATAGTACCGTATTTCTGACAAATGGTAACACAGAAAAGAGGGTGTATCTTTTGATACACTTAATAAAGCAATTGGGGAAATCCAAGATGGCGGTCTCCATAAAAGTAGGTCAACGTTACTCGATTGTTTTTTGAGAGTGAAAACCTATTTTTAAGACTAAAACATTGATACAAACCATTTCTGCTGATGTCCAACTCAACCATGTTGACCAACTGGGCCACATCATGCGGTAATTTCCCAATTTCATTGTCGCTTAAAGTTACTTTTCTCAGCTGAACGAGCCGAAAGAAGTTCTGTAAAGGAAAAGTAGAAACGTTTAATTTATGCCTATCACTGTATGAAAATAGATGTGGTTCAACAAATGCATCACATAATCAAGTAACACATACCTTTGGTAACTCCCTTATACTGTTTGCATCTAGAAATACTTCTTCAAGCGATCGAGTATACCGCATCACATCGTCGGGTACCGACTGTAGGTTACAGTGTCTTCTGTCTATCCACTCTACCTGGCGATTACACGCCTTGAAAATTGGAATACACTTAAACATGGCACTTTTAATCCACTAAGTCACTTCAGGCAACATATGCACAATTTATCTACGTTACAATAAATGAATAAAATGTTAAAATAGGAGCAATTTTCCGGGTAAATGAGAGCCTACATATCTAAATTTCGAATACTGTATATAGTATGTGACGTCACAAAATATCCCACAATGCTAAACTTATCCGCAAAGGGAAGTAATAAGTTGTGATTGTTTATGCTCACCAGATTTCTCTCCCATAGCCCAGTAATTGCTATATTAATTGTTGTTACCAGTCAAGTTTTATTTACATAAACATCCTTATTAAGTTATTTGTTGTTGCGTAAATTTTGGACACAAAATAACATAAGTATATTTTTGGTCCCAGTTTAAATTAATTTGTTCAAACTTGCCTCTAGATCTAATGATTGGCACGGACATTTAACATGCAAGCGAAATCAAAGAGCTTTTTGTTAATGTAAGTAATTTTTAGAAAGTTATGTTTGTTATCCTTAACACAAAAATAAAAATAAATAGAGGATATTGAATGAGTGTAAATTCAATACTGAATTAATTGAACGAGTTGAATAAAGTAATATTATGCGAGCCTCTGGCGAGCATAATATTATTTTATTCAACGAGTTCAATAAATTCAGTATTGAAATTACACGAATGAAATATTTTATTTATCACATATCCAAAATAAAGAGTGTTTAAAGTGAAAAAGAATCATTTTTCAATGACGCGCCAATAGTGTAACGCTTACATTTAACACGTCTTGACACAATGTTTGTCTTACGCAAATGACGTCGCGTCAAATTATATGCACGGCCGTGCAATACCGTTTTTACGGAGTCGCAAAATCGGCACGGTTTATATGTGATAAATAAAGAAATTCAAAACCTCAGGAAGGCGGGCCTGAAAGTTAAAACCCACGGGCTTGCATTCTCTAGTTCAAATCGACATATCAGTTTTCGTAATAGATCTATAATATTTGTTAAATTATTATTTTGTTTGAAAAGCTAAAAGCCACGGATTTATATTACAGTAATATAAATCCGTGTAAAAGCTAAAATAGCGATTCTTGTTCAAAGATGCTACTTTTTTCTGACCAAATAGTCCCCGTCACTTTAACTTCAAATAAAATCATTGGCGAAGTTTAAAGTAAATCTAATACTAAATACTAAATTCCCCTCAAGCCCAATTTTCCGATCATTTATTTTGACAGGTTTTTGTTGTTGTTTTTTTTTCCGCTCATATCTCTATCAGGATGATGGGCGTATTTTTCATCCCGCACACTAGTCAAATGTAGTAAAACACTTGAGGAGTCGTATTGAAATGTATTATCTGTCTTGAAAACATTAAAAAAATCTTAATTTCAACGGGAAAAGAAAAACGTATGTACATTACACAAAGTTGAACCGCTGTATGTCGAGTGCCGTGTGGCTGCCAGCTCCAGTACTTGAACAGTGTTGTGGTTTTTTTCTTGTCCTTTGAAAATTGATTTGTAACTGTGTTGCGATAAATGTTTCCGCGGGGATCACCCTTTTTCCATATTTTTGATGAGTCATATTTCAATCCATTTTCTGCATCAAAAACATTAATTAATTTTCAATTGGAAGCGAAATTCTGATTATATAAACGTCTCTCAGGACTTTCATGAAATATATGGAGCAATGTTTTTATTATGGTTCTATAGTTTTTAATTTCATTAGAATTGATATAACATCAGCTCAGTGAATTGCTTCATGCAGGCTTTCTGATACATTATAGTTTAGCTTAAAAAAATATAGAATCACAGCAATACATTTAAAGCAAAGTGATTATTGTATATATGTAAATATGATTTTTATTATCATTATTATTATATTTTTCTATGTTAAGCTTTGCTTACACGTAGGCCTCCTATAATGCTGTATTGAATGGCAGATATGAGCCGCGTCATGACAAAACCAACATAATGGGTTTGCAACCAGCATGGATCCAGACCAGCTTGCGCATCCGCGCAGTCTGATCAGGATCCATGCTGTTCGCTTACAGACCCTATAGCAAGTAAACAAACTGATAGCGAACAGCATGGATCCTATTCAGACTGCGCGGATGCGCAGGCTGGTCTGGATCCATGCTGGTCGCAAACCCATTATGTTGGTTTTGTCGTGACGCGGCTCATATGTACTTTTATCAGTGTTAATTATTTGGATTGTGATGCACTTGATGTACATGTGATGAGACGAAAATAAATTATTTGAAATAAATGCCTTATATTCTTTATGGGTATTATACTTATAATTGTTAAAATTACACGATAATTATATCAGAAAAAAATGACATAAAAATATAAAGGTTATAACTTCGTAAGTTTCCAAGCACATACTCATGGTCCCGAATACCGCAGCACGGGGACAGTCGGATAATAAGAACGTGGATAATTTAATCTCAGATATTCCCTCACCCAATTGGCAGAGTTATCCCACGGAGGAAGTGATGGGGTTACAATGGGTAGGTGCTTTTTTTTTTAGATAATTTAAAGAACTTCTTTTAAATACATCTTCAATCGCAAAAGGGGGATAATGACCCTCAAAACTTATGTTTACATACCATACGTTATGACTCATGATGTAAGGAAATGACTTCGGAAGTTCCTATGAACTTTGCACGTGCATTTACTCATTATGTATATACGTAAACTTTTTAAGATAAATGATATATTTTGTTGCTTCAGTAATAAGCACATGTAACACTATAACCCCGTTTAATATCTTTAATGGACTTTTTCGTCTTTCATTCACCATTGATTTCTGTGATGTGTCGGCTGGTCTGATCTTGGTCTGCACTGGTCGTATGGGGAAAGGTACATGAAAATCAGGCTTCTTGGCTTTTTCCCCCTTTTTTAATAATCAAAATACCTTTGCACCAAAGATGGGTTTTCAACAAATGAACTGAGTCCAGGATTTCTGCAATAATTTTCGTAAACTAATTATGATAAAGATCAAAATGAATAACCTGCTTAAAAATAAATATTCATTTTAATTTGAGTTTATTTATAGGAAAGTAAGTTTAAGTATGCATTTACTTAAAAAAAAAAAAGCTAATATATATTGCTAAATCGATTTTAATTAATTAATACATTACGTTAATTAAACAAAATAATTAAGTGTGTACATAGGTATATACTTTATACGTTCTTCTCTGATTTGGGGTAACCGATTCTGCACGTGATCGTTTCCTCGTGCACCAATCATGTTGATATGAATCAAGAATATGCTAACTAGTAAGTTCTACTGCATGTGTACCTTAGTAATTGATACATCATGTACCTGATTATAATCTGGTACTTTCGGCCAAACCTACACACACGTTTTCCTCTAAAAACCTTAACTCCCAATCTTGTAATATAATACCCCGAATCTTTATAGATACCATACCCCCAATCGACACACCTTTATCGGGCCTCAAAGGTAGATGTTTACATAGTAAGGGTTAAATTACCTCCCTTCCGTAATCCCTGCAGGCTGAAACAAGAATATCTCCCTACTTGAGTACGAGGGGTTTTCGCTGTGGAAAACACTGAATAGTAGGAGTTTTATGGCTTTTAGGAATGTACAATTAACATCATAGGTAAGATTATTCTTTACTCTTTTAATTTGTGTAAAATATTCTGGAATATTTGAAGTAAATATTGAAATATGAAAAGTTTTTCTGTACCCTATTTACTACCCTTTTAAGGTCAGTAGACAGTTAATATGTCGGCCCTAGCCGTATCGATTGGCAGGTTTCCCAGATTTGAGTTTCTATTTTATTAAGCGATATTTTGGGTTAAATGATGAGTTAATCGTCAGATATTACAGAAAATAGATGATTTAAAACGTAAATATCAATGTTTATACGTTTCTGAAGAAGGAAACAGTTTATAAGGATTTGACAGGGATTCGGCTCGTTCATGTATTAATTAATCGTAAGCTACTACCGACAGATGGCGCTTCGGAATGTTTAGCCCTTAGGCTGTATAATATATGTTTATACTTGTGAAAGTGGCTATCATTAGAAAAAGTGAAAAATATTAACTTATTTTGAAACAATTTTTGGAATATTTCAAAACCGAAAGTAGCGTAAATTGCGTAATAGACTCCGATATATTAGACTTGATCGGAGTGGAATTTCAGCTAAATATAGAATGACAGGTCACGTGAGTGGATATACATGGGCGGTCACGTGTTTAGTGTATTGACGTATGTAGGTCAAAAGGTCTGGTTTTGTGTATGCGTATCAGCAAGAGGCCCACTTAGGGAGACCTTTGAAAAAGAAACTTAATATTTGCAGAACTTTACATACGATCCACGAAACTGTTCTTTGATTTTATCCATAAAATTCACAACTAATTAAATATGTTTTATTTTTTATATATCAATAGAGCTACCTAAAATAATAATAGGCCTAATGATAAAATAAAATTGTTAATTAAAATTATAGAGTACCAATTTAAAACATACAAGTTTTAATGAAATTAATTGGACTGTACTTAAAGTCCCTGGTTAGGATAAGACATATAATGATAAACAGAAAATAATAATTTGCCATTTATTTCCTTATATAATACCAGTATGAGCATATAGTATTATCTTTAAAGTAATAATTACTATAATTATGTCAAATTATTTGTATTATGTTCATATGTTGGAACCATTTGACATGTCTTATTTATTTTAACAAATTACTCTTCATGGCTTCTAAAACTAATGTGACTACCTGGGATTGGGGGATCTAAGCATGTTTAATATGGACAGGACAAATATTGCCCCCCCCCCCCCCCCAGCACTGGACTACAAATAACAGTCTTATACATGTATATTACAGCAATCTCTGTGACTTAAACCTGTCACCCAAGTAGTCCTGGAGTCAACTTGAGGGAAAAATATACTAGAACGGGCCTGTTTATGACAAACAAAGAATATAAATATAAAGAATATTTTGGGTTTTCCAAACTTTTATAGTTACAGTACAGCTTTGAAAATACGTGCAACAGGTTGATTAATCTATTGTGAACTTGGTGCTGCACCGTGAAAACTTGGAAAATCCCACTTCAGTCCTAGGAACTCCCCTGTTTCCTATCTGTATTAATAAATGATCTTACTGACTTCTTAAATTACTTTAAAGTTTGACTCTTTAATATAGATGACAAAGCTGTGTATCTTCCTCTTATTGTAACTTCTTATTCAGGACTACCACCTACAACTGGACCTAGATACAAGCTTGAAATATGGGAATCAAATTCAATCTCTCAAAAAAGTCAAAATATCAACTTATATATTATACCAACACAATATACCTTGCATAATACCATCCTAGAATCAGTTAAATCAGCAAAGTACTTTGGTGTCAAGATACCTAACTTGGAACAATCACAAAGTCGGTGTCAGCATGGTTGAAAAGCAAATCTGCAAACAATTAATATGCTTCCTGCAACAAAACATCAAGGTCCACTCTGAACCACCTAAAAGTACAGCCTACAACACACTTTTCCAAACTCAACTTGAGTACAGTTTCAGTGTCTGGTCACCATACACTGGAGTTTGATGACTAGATAGAGTCTATGCAGTTTCATGCTGCCTGTTAGGTCAAAGAGTATTACAAAAACACATCAAGTGCTTGATTACCTAGAGTGAAGACTGCTAGAACAAAGATGGATGAATCGGTGCCATATTATGCTTCAAAACATCTTCAAAAATAAGGTTTCCATTCCCTTTCCAAACCAGAGATGAACTATTGTTTTAGATTAATTAATATATTGTTTTGATTCCTTTTTTAAAGGCCCATTGTAATAAAAGTTGTTCTTTTCATTTTATATAGGCCATACAGCGAATGCCCCTTTAGGAGGAGAATCATAACAGGGAGACGGGTGAGGTGCTAAATTACAATCAAGAGGTTGGATTTCATTATTTCATCAGTGTTAATCAGCATGGAAATAGGACTGAAAATCGAGCCCGGTTCAGTGAGATCTCTTAGTGCAGTAACTGCATCAGAACTTGGCATGACTATAAACCTTGAAACCAGCCCCGTATCTTCAACAGTTCCCAGCCAGGTAGTACAGACTGGACAGAAAGCGTCGTTGATAAATCAAATTGCTGCCCAGCTTGCCAGTAGTAAAGCCTCACAGTCACAAACCTCGCCTACAAATGTTGCAATCGCGCCTGCACCCGTGGCGAACGGAAACGATAAGAGTAAAAATCCAATTGTGGCCACAATGACAGAGGCATTGTCATTGAAACAGTCGCCGACATTAACAAAACAGTTGTCAAAACCTGTTGGTGGTTCGTCATCCGGAATGCAGGTCATCACTCAGTATATGTGTCGTTACTGTGGTCAACAGTTTGAATCCACAAATGATATGCAACTTCACATTCAGGTAAGCACACTTAATACTGAAATCTCCTGTAGATGTTACTAAAATAACTTATAAATGCTTCCTTTCAACATTATCTGCCCTTCGTTATACTAGTGAATATTAGAACTTTTAAAACTTGAAGTCTTCATTTTTCACAGTATTTTCGGGAGTTAAAATATGAAATGGCTTTTGCCGAACCTGAAACCTTCATAGATATTGTCAGAGGTCGTGTGTTTACAAAATTGTACTTTGTTCAAATGAAATACGTTCAAGTTAGATTTTTGTTTTTCATAAGTTAATTGCTTAATTAATGAAAGCTATTGTCATATAATTTATATGTGATTTATATTGCTTTAAACATTGTGTCTGTCACTTGTATTTTCGCAGGAACACGTCTCTGGAAAAGCACCACATGAATGCTCAGTGTGTGGTAAAACATATCGTACGCCGTCCAAGTTACAGCGCCACGTCCGTGTGCACAGCGGAGAACGTCCTTACGCCTGCTCTATATGTGGCCGAAGATTTACACGAAGTGACCACGTGAAGCAACATATGAAAGTTCATTGCCAGGTATAATATGCTTTGAAAGCTTGAAATATGTATGCCTCATCCTCCAGATTGTTATACAAATTAAGAATAAAAAAAAAGGAAAAATTATATTTAAAAATATAGATTAATGTACAAAATCTTGATATCCAAATCGAGATTACATGTTTTATATATTACCACAGGTGTTCGGCATGTTGATTGGTCACTACAGCGAAAGAGAAATAAAAATGATATATATTTTTAGTAAACATACATTTACTAAATGTATGATAATGTATCTTTATTTTTTGGCATAGTGACCAATCAACATTGCCAAATACAATAATTCAACACATGTGTGTTTTACATGTATAAATTATGGTAATTAAAAGTTTTTCTATCTGTTACTGAGCAAATGCCCTGTATGCATATTTTGATAGCAAAAGTAACTCAACTTAAAGCAAGTTACTTACTTAGTACACATGATGAACATTTTTCGAATTAAATCATAATAATCTACAAGTAAATTATGAAATTGAAGGGAATAATGACAAAATGTAAACTTAATTTTACTTTCACTGGTTCGCTTGATGGGCATTATAAACTTCACTTTAATATATAATTTTCAGCATAGTGAATGCAGATTTCGTAAATAATTACTGCTTATTAACCAAATGCTGCATTCTATAGTTGTGTCATTTGTTACTATTTTTAGCCAAAAGATGCAAACGTATGTCACATATGTAATGATATGAAGTTCAGCAGACGGCAAGCTTTACATCTTCATCTACAGCAGCAACATTTAATGCAGCAGGTATGCTCTCGGTTATAACATGGAAAAAAAAGATATTTCTACTTATATAAATCACTGGCTGATAATAATTTTGAATCAATGAAAATTACAGTCAGGCTTGCCGTTAAAGGCCACCCTTGCACACAGAAGATATAGAAAGTCTTTAACATTCACAGACTAGCTTTTTTTCATCCAATTTGAAAACTTAAAAGAATGACCTGTTTATAGAAACCATTTGTTGATAAAGACCATGCTTTCATATTACTTGGCTAGTGTACATTGATAGGTTAGACTGTACTTTTAAAGTGTACGTTGAGAGGTAGGGCTTTAATTTATACCAGCTCTGTAAAGTACATTATGATTACTAGGGGAGTAATTCCCTAGGTGCCCCATCATGCATTATTTCAAGCACAAGTTAGTACTTGGAGAGAACCACCAACATTACCATGAGTTAGCTGGATAGCTTCTTTATATGAAATAATCCAAGAATACAAAGCGTCTGTCTGGATTTGAACCAAAACTGTTGGAAGTAAGTTGTTCAATGAAAACAGCCTTAATCACTGATGATACGTTATTTGTGAAATGAAGTAATATAAACTGTAAAAGGTTTGGTCTTTTTTGCTGCAAGTTTGATTCATTTCATACTAGTATGATACAAATTTAAATTTCTGTACACTAACTTTAGCACTCTGTGTTTACAAAGGTTCATTATGTCACTATTATAGAGACAGACCTATTTGCACTCTTATCAGGATGCAATGCTGCCAAATAAAATAAGAAGTTAAGTTTATAGTATAGACAGAATTTTTCTTAGTTTGATTGTGCAGGAAGCTATATCTTGAAAGAAACATTCTTGAATCTTTGATTGCTACTACAAAACAGTATTACAGTCTTCTTTAAATACTCTAAAATATTCCAAGTTTTTTACAACTTGATAAAATCAGAGCTAATTAGAAATTATTTTTGATCTGTTACAGGTATTTACATGTCACAGATGCGGGGAAGCCTACGAATCATTAGAAGAAATGCAATCTCACAAGTTAACACATGACACTGTGTTGAACAGTCTGAAGGACAATGCAAGCTTTCAGCCATCCCAGAATTCTATAGCAAAATTTGCTCTGGGTCAGCAGAAGAATGAACAAGGAATGAACAAATATGATACAATTAAAACCGAGGAGGATACAAAATCTACAGGCATCGTTCTCAAAGTACCGAACAACAATGGTTTTTACATCCCTGCTAATTTAGACAATGTGTCAGCCCTCAGTAGTAAACTTCTCATGGAGGGGATGGAAAGGATGGCTAAAGAAGCCGCGGAATTAGAAGTCCAGAAGAAATATCAAGAAGAGCTTGAACAACTCAATGCTGATGCTCAGAAGTTTGCGTTACAACAGCAGAAAATCATTGAAGATGCAGAACGAGCCAAAATTGCTGAATGCTTCAGAATCAAAGCTTCTACACCAAGTCATTCTCCTAACCTTGGCGAGCCGAAGTTGGTCATAAACGAGTCAGCCGATTCTAGTTTGGAGATTGTAGCTGGAAAAGAGACGACAACGGTTGTCAATGGGGACGGAATGTCCATGTTCATGTTACCTACATCACTGCAGTTTAATAACAAAGACGTGGAGAAAAGCGAGTCAGAAATGGAAGCTGATGATACAGAAAGTGAACAAAACTCATCCAAAGACTCTGTTGGTATTAATCGTGAAGGAGATGGTGAGAAAAGTGAAGGTGACAGCAGTGAAAAAATGGATTGTTCCGACGATACAGGAAGTAACGTAGCCGGAGAATCAACTGAAGACAATGCACGATCAAAGGAGGGAAAAATCTCATCGCCGGCGGAAGGTTATACAAAGCCGTGTCCAAAGTCAAAGAAACCAGGTTACGTAGCCCCAGTTACTCAAAGCACTGAAACAAAAACTGTTTCCAGTGAGGACTATCAGAGTACAGCCCCGAAGCCAATGTTGTCACTACTAAATCCACGAATAAATGAGCTAATTAAAGCAAAAGTTGAGCATAATTTGAGCCAAAGTCAAAACCAAACAACTTTTATTGTAACAAACCCGGCAGCTAATCAACAACTACCGAAACTGACTTTCATACCAAATGTGGGCGGGAACAAGTATACTCCAATCGCTAATTTACCAACAATCTTGCCAGCTCCGAGCCTGAGTGCTCCTGCCTTCGTACCCTCGGTTACTTTGTCCACTCAACCGGCTGCTCAAAAGGCAAGGTCGGACACGCCAAAGCTTATCAAATGTGATCATTGTTGTATTTATTTCGAAGACAATGCCATGAGCATGCTGCACAACACTCTTCACTCGGCCGACAATGCCGACCCGTTCACTTGTAGGAAATGCTACAAGAAGCTTGGAAACCGGCTCGAGTTCATGGCTCATATGGTATGGCATCTAGAACCAAACATGGATATTTAGATTTATTCTACAAATACTATAATGCTATCCTCTAAAAACGTTAATGTAATATAGGTAAGTTGCAGGCAATTTTTAAGCCTGGATTTTTTTTGTTTTCCTGAAATTAGTTTTTGATTATCCAAATGTGGTAACAAGTATTGATATCAGTTTGTTGATAGCAAGGTGCTTTCTTGTTTGCCTTTAATAGTATGTATTTAAGATATGAAATACAAAGATTTTGTGCAATTTTATTTCATATAGATTAGTGGGTGGCATACATAGTTTTAGGGGATGTATTTATTTTTTGTTGTTATTGATTTATGTTGTTTTTCTTCTGTTTCCTAATACTCAAGTTATGACGGAAAGCTTTGAATGTTTGGTGTCACATTTACAGTACTGTATAGTACTATATATAGAAAGTGGTGTCACATCATTGCTGTGTGTTACATATACTGCATTATCTGTTATTCATAAAGATAAAAAAAATGTGTCACAATTACAGAAAACACTGTCACTAAGTAAGATTGAAATGCGTCACATTTAGTGCAAACGTAATCATTTTAATAATTATGTAATATCAAACTGTGTCACATTTTCTGTGAAATGATTGTTCTATATTATTTACTGTTAATTTGTTACACATTTACAATTTATAATGATATAATTTGAGACAAAAGTATGTCACAGAATATATTTTGTTTTGTTATCATCATTTATGACATAAGCATGTCACATTAAAAGTTGTTACTTGTTTACCTTGTAAGACAAAAAAAGATGTCACATAAAGTTTGTACATTATTATCATGTAAGGCACAGGCATGTCACATAAATATGGAATAAGTTAATCATATTTTTTCACTGTCATCACATTGATGTCACATTTACTGACTACATTGTTATGTTACCGTGTATACTAAAATTATGAACTGTTAATGTTTGTTATAAGCATGTAATAATGTTTGTTATAAGCATGAAAATGTGTAAAAATACTTGTAAAATCAAACTTGGGGTATAGGCTGTTTATATTTGGTAATAGTATTGTCAAAGGTTTAAAGATGTTAATAATGCACGGAAGGGCACCTGAGGTCTTCCTCCACCAGTTAAAGCTTGAACGTCGCGATATGACCTATACTGTGTCGATGTGACGTAAAACCCAAGACAAACAAACAAAAGATGTTAATATGTAGGGTTCGAAAGTGACAACCTTTGCCACCAGTATTAAGCTAGGTTACCCATGCAGTTCTTACAAGACTTTATACAGTTGGCAGCTCAAATCTTGTATTTTGATTATGAAATCCTTTTATTGTTTGAAATGGCCTCCTCCAAATTCAAAGTAGGGTGAATCCATTACAGGTAGTCAGCACGTTAAAGGGACTCGATTGAGGATTTTTTACATGTTGGTACTTGAAATAATTTTGCGAAATAAATGTTTCATTTGTTGTAGGTCTAGACCAATAACTTGTGTGCAAAATTTCAGATCATTTGCTTACTCTGTTTTTGCTAATTAATTATTGTAATTGTGAAAAAAAGTTGGTGAAGAATAGCATAAAAATAGGATTTTCATTTTATTTCTAAGTATATTTCTTAATTTTTTGCATATTTTTCTGTTTTAAGTACCACAGCTGACCTATGTAAGGAATTCAAATTTTATGTTTTTAGGCTTTTGGACCTCAGTGGAGTTACTTTAAGATTATTCCATATGTTTAAAAAAGAAAAATGGGATTTAAAAAAAAAACATCCATTTTTACAACTGGAAATGAGTGTTGTTTGAGACTCTTTTAATGGTTTAAACTTTTTCTGATTTGAACTTCAAATGAATCAAGTTGTTGATGGAATACATTCTCCTTATTGCGACTTAAATGAATCAAGTTGATAAGCCAACAGTATAGAGTCAGGTCCGATTGGTGTTCTGGTCACAAATGGCATAATGTCATTTTTAGCTTGTAGCACTTTTAATGGTTCAAATGTATTGTGCAATGGTAGAGCTTTTATTTTTACTGCTTTGGTAGAAAGAAATTATATGTTATATGTTTTCAACAACAAAAGTCTGTGATGTCAAAATTTTTTTTATTAATGAAAATGTCCATGCTATATTTGTTAAAGCTTTGAGTTGAAATTGTTTGCTTTTTGCTTTCTTTAGTAATGAACAAATTAAGTTGAAAAGGTTATCTGGTTGTTTCATGATTTTCTTTTATTATATAAAATATTTAATGTTTTCTCGTTGATTAACCTCATAACCTCCATTGGAAAAACTTGTGAAGCTTATATAAACCTATCATGATTACCTCCCTTAGCAAAAAAAATCATAATACATGTAAAATACAATTTTATTCTTCAATTCATATTAATATTCTGGCTTCCTTCGATTTTGACATCGAAATCAGTTAGAAATACCAGCCAAATGAGATGAACAAAATTCTTGGGACAAAAAACAACTGTCGACAGGTTTTTTTTTGTTTATGAAAAAAAATATAACTTTCTTTATAATTTTTTTTTTAAAGTACTTTTACACCAAGTACAAGCTTTTAGAAGTAGTTATTTTCTAAAAATGTGATAATTGATGGAATTTTGATACATGTACATACAGATAATTATTAATTCCGTTATTCTTCTAAGTTTTGAATAATATATTCTCGGCCAGTTTATTTATTGAAAACATTATATACTTTTTATTTATTTTATATGAACTATATTTCAAATACTAATAGGAGATGCATGTATGTCTGTATATGAAGAATTTATTTATTATTTATCTAGTTGTTATTACAAGTTGAGATGATTATTCCATGTAATTTATATAGAATATCTTGTTGATTGTTAACAGTTTTGGAAAGAACAAGTAGTAATGCTTTTTGATTTGATGTCATTTTGACCAAATTAATATGATGTGATGATAGCAGAGCAAGATTTTTGGTTGTTATTGAGAGTTGTTGCTTATTAGATGAAAGTGTTGCTGTGAGAAAAAAAAATTAAAATGTTGCGTTAAAGAAGACCACTCTGTCGAGATTGCGCTGTGTGGTATAAGGCCCATCAATGCACTCCTGGGGTGTGCATTGTTTCATTTTCAGATCTAATTGGGTTTAGTATTCAAAAATACAGAATTAAGACAAGTATTCAACAAAAAAATGAATAGAAATACAAATGTGGAAACAACATAATTATAGTGATTATTTTTCAGGTTAAATGATTTGTTAAGTTTACAAAAGTTATGTACAGTAAAGTAAAGAAGTTGCCCAGGAATGAGATTGGCAGACAATTAGTGTATTACACAATACATGTATGTACATTATATGTAGGGATCTTGAAATGTTCACAGGATTTATATCATTTTGGTTATTGAACAAAAACTTTTGGAAATAAGAAAAAACGGAAATATGGGTAAACCTTGAGTAATTCAGCGTGTCTGTTACTTTTTACACAGCAGTTAATGCCCTTTAAATTTGGAATAGTTGAATTTTTTATTAGCTCACCTGTCACAAAGTGACAGGGTGAGCTTTTGTGATCGCTTTTCGTCCGGCGTCCGTCCGTCCGTCGTCCGTCCGTCGTCCGTCGTCCGTCCGTAAACTTTTGCTTTAAATGACATCTCCTCATAAACCACTGAGCCAATTCCATCCAAACTTCACAGGAATGTTCCTTTGGTGGTCACCTTTAAAAATTGTTCAAAGAATTTAATTCCATGCAGAACTCTGGTTGCCATGGCAACCGAAAGAAAAATCTTTAAATATCTTCTTTTTAAACAACCCTAAGAGCTAGAGCTTAGATATTTGGCATGAAACATCTTCTAATGAGTGTCTACCAAGTTTGTTCAAATAAAAGCCCTGGGTCAAAATTGGCCCCGCCCCCGGGGGGTCATTGATTTTCCCTATATGCATATAGTAAAAACTTAAAAGATCTTCTTTTTAAAGAACTGTAAGAGCTAGAGCTAAGATTTTTGGCATGGAACATCTTCTAGTGAGTGTCTACCAAGTTTGTTCAAATAAAAGCCCTGGAGTCAAAATTGGCCCCGCCCCGGGGTCATTGATTTTCCCTATATGCATATAGTAAACACTTAAAAAATCTTCCTTTAAAGAACTGTAAGAGCTAGAGCTTAGATATTTGGCATGAAACATCTTCTAGTGAATGTCTACCAAGTTTGTTCAAATAAAAGCCCTGGGGTCAAAATTGGCCCCGCCCCAGGGGTCATTGATTTTCCCTATATGCATAAAGTAAAAACTTAAAAAATCTTCTTTTAAACAACCCAAAGAGCTAGAGCTTAGATATTTGGCATGAAACATCTTCTAGTGAATGTCTACCAAGTTTGTTCAAATAAAAGCCCTGGGGTCAAAATTGGCCCCGCCCTGGGGGTAATTGATTTTCCCTATATGCATATAGTTTAAACTTAAAAAATCTTCTTTTAAAGAACCGTAAAAAGAGCTAGAGCTTAGATATTTGGCATAAAACATCTTTCTAGTAAATGTCTACCAAGTTTGTTCAAATAAAAGCCCTGGGGTCAAAAAATTGGCCCGCCCCAGGGGGTCATTGATTTTTTCCTATATGCATATAGTAAAAACTTAAAAAATCTTCTTTTAAAGAAACTGTAAGAGCTAAAGCTTATATATTTGGCATGAAACATCTTCTAGTGAATGTCTACCAAGTTTTGTTCAAATAAAACCCTGGGGTCCAAAATTGGCCCCCTCCCCAGGGGTCATTGATTTTCCTTATATGCATATAGTAAAAAACTTATAAAATCTTCTTTTAAAGAACCCAAAGAGCTAGAGCTAAGATATTTAAGCATGAGACATGTTCTAAATGTGGTGTCTACCAAGTATGTTCAAATAAAAGCCCTGGGGTCAAAACTGGCCCCGCCCTGGGGGTCATTGATTTTCCTTATATACATAGCAAAAACTTAAAAATCTTCTTTAAAAAACCCAAATAAACTAGAGTTTAGATATTAAGCATGAAACAATCTTTAAGTAAATATCTACAAAGTTTGTTCAAATAAAAGCCCAGGGGTCAAACTGGCCCTGCCCGAGGGGTGTCATTGTTTTTTACTCTATGTGTATAGTAAAAACTTAAAAAATCTTCTTTTAAAAAACCCAATGAGCTAGAACTTAGATGTTTTGCATGAAACATCTTCTTATGGGTGTCTACCAAGTCTGTTCAAATAAACAAATAAAAGCCCTTGGGTAAAAATTGGGCCGGGGGGGGGGGCTATATACAGGTGAGCGACCTCAGGGCCATCATGGCCCTCTTGTTATGTTTATAATAAGTATCATGAAAAATCATGTAAAAATTTGTCAACAAATGTTGCTTATTGTCCATCTCTCAAAGAAAAGAAAAAAGAGGAAGTTTGTAAAAGGTCTGCTGTTGGGTCTGCTTGTTTATTATTTTTTACAGAAAGCATTATATTTAAGAGGAATATATTCTGTTTGGGATTTACTTGTTTTTCTATTTTATGATATTTTGTATTATGCATGCTGGGTAGAATTTCATTACTGTGTGATAATTGGTAATAGACTGTTTTCTTGTTACATTAAGATTGTGAGGGGCGGTTATTGTGGGATAGTGTCACAAGTGTGTCAGTGTGTCACCCTGGGTACAGTAGATAATGATTTAGTTCAAGGAAATGGACATCAAAGTAGCTTCAAGATTGCATCACAAAATACCTGAAATAGATACGTTTAAACTAAACTGACACTTTTTTTTTTTTTTTTTTTGGGGGGGGGGGGGGGGGTTTCAATAGCTGTGGTTGTTCTTAACATGTTTTAATCAGGTGATAAAATGTAGCAATTTTCATTGGGTGTATTGTTTTGTGACTGTTGAGTATTAGTTATTTATAAGTGAGAAAAAAATGTTTACGTGTGTCTTTATATATAGATTATTGTTTTGTTAAGATATCAACCCATGTACCTACTACCTTTTTTGCTGTTTAATCACTAGTTGTTGATGTTGTTTTCTTTTTTCTTTTCACTCAGAATGCATTTTATATATTATATATGTATATTGTTTTCATTTATTCATAGTTTTTCATATTTTACAGATCATCTATCTCATTTAACATAATGCTGTGTTTGATTGTACAAGGAATGCTTTCATGTTGAACATCCATTCAAATAACTGGTTCTCAGATTGATTGTGAAATTTACCGTAAAACTCATATAAAATGCCCCTGGGTGCTTAACATTTTCACAAGTTCAGTGAAGTTTACCATAAAATTCCTATTAAATTCGCTGGGGTGCTTAACATTTTCTAAAAAATGATTCACAAGTTTGAAATTTACTGTAAAATTCCTATTAAATGCCCCCGGGTGCTAAACATTTTCCAAAAGTGGGTGGGGGGTGTTTATTAAAACAGTTTTTACTAAATCCAAAAATCATTGTAAACACATTTTGGTTTTAAACAAGTTTTCATAATAACAGTAAAAGTTGTTAAAGTCTTAAAGTTTATATAATACATTTTTGTGTTTACTATAAAATAAAATGGATTCTGAAGGATTTGAATAAAATTATGGATTTACTCTTCAGCACAGATGAGAAGAATTTTTTTCTTATCAGAAAAACCTGGTGGGTGCCTTTTTAGGGGAGGGCATTTATTATGAAGTTTATGGTATTTTTTACTATTTCTGAGCTGACCAATGGTTATAGATATGTCATTTTGAGGTTATTGAACATTGAACTTGCAGGGATTTCAAATTGAAGATTATACTTAAAGTACTGAATTGAATGCTTGTAAATGCTAAATGGGTCAGTGTTGTTAAGTTTATTTTTTATTATTTTTTTTTTAAAGATATGTAACAAAAATGAAAAAAGATAAATTCAAGAACAAAATGCATTAATTTCAATCAATCATTACATCTTTGAAAGTTGAACTTTAAATGTTTTTGTCCAAATTGAAAGACCATTTATGATTGATAAGATATTTAGTATTGTATGGGTAAAAAAGACAGAAAGAGAAAGAAATTTCACCTCAAATTGTGAACCAGTTATTTATTATTATATCAGCCATTCTCCTACCTGTATTATGTGTAGAATGTCAAATCTGATCAAAAATAAAATGTTTGTTACCATATTGTTGCCTTTTAGAGATATCTTTATAAAACCTGTGTAATGTTAAAAATACTTTTTTTATACAGCATTGAAGTATTAACATTTTCCTGTTTTTTTCTTTTTTGTAAATGATGTTAAGAAGGGTTATGTAATACAAGCTTTATTCTGTACATATATAACAATTTAATAAACAAACTTCTTAACATCCTATGACTCACATCTAGGTGTACATTGTACAAAAATCCTGTATTTATAGTACATGTATGTATGGTCCCATTTTACCTTATGATAAAGTTTTTTATGCATTAAAAAGATTTATAATTTTAAAAGTTGCATGCCTCCAGAATGAGCAAAAAAATTTTTTTTAAGAAAATCAAACTTGAGAAAAATGTAATAAGATTTTAAGAAAAGTTAAAAGGATCTAGATTCAAGTAATGATTTACATGTTCTGTGTGATTATTAACTGATTTTGCAGTATTTAACACCATATTTCTGCTGCATGACTAACACAGCAAAGGTTATTTTTGCATATTTTGTCTCTTTTTGCTACCTTAATTTGGTTTTGTAAAAGACATTGTTCACTTCACAATATTTTACCATTGAATACATTTTCAATAGTTTCATGAAAAATAGAATGAATCTGGAGGCGTACTGCTTATTAAGTTTTTCAAGAATA